ATGAGGACTAGGGGTGTTACCAGTCCTCTTTCTCGGATCGCTAGGAGGCCGATTAGGCCTATGGGAATCTCCAAACGGAGATCGTCTCCTAACAGGAGGACCAGGAGCACCAGGTTTCTGGGCTCTGTCCCTGGACTGAGATCGTTCGTAAAAGTCTTTGTGCATATTGACCTGATTCTTACGAACCCTCCAACGGTCAATTTCGTTCTTGCAACGAGCACGAAGCCATTCATAGCTACAAACATCAGGGTTGGATATGTTCCTATCCCATTCCCTGATATCATGGGCCAAACAGTTGAGGTGTCTAACCTTCTCACTGAATAGCGACCGCTTTACCTGTTCGGTCAGCGGTTCATCGAGACCCGCAAGGATGTGATCCCACTTCGCGATGAACCTTTCAAGTCGCTCCTCTTCAGTATAGAAAGATGATGTACTGCATCGTAAGTTTGAGAGCTCAATTATCCTGAACGATTGCTCTCCGATATTCGCAGTCCTTAAGTGGTCGTATAAGAGCCACAGGATCTGCCTACTCTTGATGCGATTGTTGGAGCGTTGAGCGGCTTCGGTGAGACGATTAATCTTATCGATGATCGCAACAGTCTTGATGCACTTCCGAATGGCTGCATTGAACCTGGCTTCGAGGATGTGGTACTTACATTCCCCATCCAGTTCATCAAAGGTCTTTGCCTTCTCGACTTCAGTTAGCCAATTGATGACGTAAAGTCCATCATAGCTGTAGGCATTGCTAACAGCTTCCTTCATATTGGCTATCCATACCCTCAGCCCAGCCGCGTCGGGCTCTGGCGGGAGGTCTATGGAAATGCACTTAGTCGCAGCTGTACAGTTCGGATCATGATGGCTACTGTACCCGCCGCCACCAGTTCCGAAAAGATGCTGTGGAACCTGAGAGCTACCGATTGACAATGCACACACAGGACAAAGGCGTGTAGCCTTCGGAATACAAATCTCACATGCCCTTTTCATGCATATCTTACATTCCTCAATTTTACTGGGATCAGGAATATCCCGATCACACATCCGACATTTCTTGTCAGGAGGATCGGGGCCACGCATGGTCGGCGGCTCAAGGCCTGAAGGATCCTTCGGCCTTGCACCGTTGGGATCAAATCCTGGATAATATCCGGTTTCACGTTTATCCAGGGCACGGGGTGCGTAGCCTTCGGGGGACTCTGAATGTTAGCCGCACCGGGCTGACCTCCAGTTGGGGTGTCACGGAATCTGTCAACGGGTGGCCGCAGAGGCGGCGAGAACGACCGCGTCGGGTTCGTTTCAGGTATGCCTCCAGGCGACCTATTCCTGACACGGTTACCATCGGGATCCCTTCTTCTCCTAGTCTCGTCCCTAAGGCACGCAAGACAACAGGGACCCTGGACAAATCCAAATCTCCTGTAGTCATCCTGCCCAGCAGAATGTCTGGTGCAGTAGTATGTCTTGCAAAACTGACACTCAATACCCTTGGTCAGGAACGAGCTCTCCCTACAGACACCGCATCGGGGTCCGTTACGGGAACATTCTTCACACAAGTTCTCCTTGAACGAGAAACAATACTCACAAATATCACCTCTGCATCCCTTGCAGTGAAACTCGGCCATGAGGTGATTATAACCATCACCTACGTATTTACATCTGGGTTTACCAGGGTCGCCAGGGTTCCCACCGGCGGCACTCTTCTTCCCCCCTCCTCCTGGGCTTTGCCGATCTGGAGGAGGAGGTGGTGGAGGATCACCATCAGGAGGGCCAGGTGGAGGTGGCCGCTTATCCGGAGTACGGGACGCGGCTCGCCTTCCTCCTGTGTGATCGTTCAATCCACTACTTGAGGCCTGGTTCGAGTGCCTTGACTCGAGGGAGTTAATTCTCTGGGCCGTATTACCCAGCACCTCGAGCATTTGCTCGAGCTTACTGTTGAGCGTAGTCGAAACGGCCATGTTATGAGTATTCTGCTTGTCCGTGTAGGATTTGCAGTCCCTTGACTTCATCTCAAGGTTGGCTTGTGTCTCATAAAGTTGGTCTTTAACCCACTTTATGCCGTCCCTATTGTTGGTCCAGCGTTGTTCGACATCTTGCATCATCCTATCAATCTGACATACCCTAGTGGACAGGTCCTCGATTTTGAGGTTCACTCCACCAATAGCAGGATGGTTGGATTGGCTCTCCACTAGAGATCTCTCGATCATATCAACACGAGCTATAAGCCCGGTTACTCGATCAGAAAGAGATTCAAAAACAGTTTGAACCTGGGTGATGGAGCGAGCAACATCATCGTAGCTGGCTCGCTCGTTTAGGGCATCGCCTATGCTCACCATGCGATTGGAAACGATCTTGACGCGTTGGCCAAGCTCGGTCACGATGTCCTTAGTCCCTTGTGACAGCTGCATGGCCGCGTTCGCAGCCTGCGTACACGTGCTACTCACATGGACGCATTGGTCGTATTTGGCCCTCCACGAGCTAACCTCAGTGGAGAGCTGCTTGATGCATTGATCACTTCTATCATTCCTACGACCAAGGTCTTCGACCTTAGCAACCAGGCGATGAATAATCGCACTTACCGAAGAGTCCACTCTCCCTCTTTCAAGGGCTGTTACAAGATCAGCAACCTCGTTGGGTTGCTCCTCACTCGTAGGACCAAATCCTGATCCGCGATCTCGAGGAGTGGACAGATCAACCATGATTGGATTAGACCTTGGAGGAGTTCTGAAATCATCCTGCACTGCCGTTGATGGCCGTGGAAACTCACTCCGATTAGGAGATTGACTCTGATACGGAGCAGATCTCCTAGCATCACGAACCGCAGAGGGTTGTGTCATGCCCAGGCCTTTGGCCACGGGCAGTTTAGGAACAACAGGCCTATCCATTCGCATAGGAACATCAGGCCTCGAGTCAGCAATAACAATGTCATTCAAGTCGGTCGCATTGGACACTCTAGACTCAGACATCGATTCAATATCAGTCGCATTACTGATGGTATGATTGTGACTAGAACTTGATGCCATCATGGATTCAGATTCTATCGGAACATTAGCTCCGTCCACGTCGTCTAGGGCGAAAATGGAAGCCGCGTTGGGCGTATGGCGAACACCTTGTGCGCTCATGCCACTCGACCTATTAAATTCCTCCTGGAATGCCTCGATTCCATCAAGCACGTTAACGAGCGTGTCCGCGTTTAGCGGATCTCTACCAATGATTGACGCTGGATCACCTGATCGACCGCGTCCTGAGTCCCGCGCACTGGGGTTACCCCTGTGGGCGGTTTCCCGATCCATCCCCCTTGCCCTATGCGATCCAGTCGAATTTGACCTTGATCGTTTGCTCGGGGTCGGACTGGGATGCAAATCCAATCTATCTACGATATTACGCTCCCTAGGGCTCTCAAATCCTGAAAGTCCTGGGGGAGGGGACATGTTCCTCATGGTCGGGTTCACCGACGGCCTTGGCCTGACGTTACGGCTGGCCACGTCAGGATTGAGATTCTCAATCGATAAAGGTAGCATGAATTCATCGCTTCCAGCAGCCCGTTTTGGGCTTTGGAATTGCGGGAAAGATGACGGGGCGGGTGGCCCTGGCATCCATGCGGCAAAATCCATACCAAAAATATTTCCGTCGTTGGGCCATGATGCTCTCCAATCGAGCCCACCGGATTCGGTCGGCAGATGAACATCAAATGCAACTCCACTGGATGTACCAGGTTCGGGATTACCGAGCGCTTGAAAAACTATGCTACTGGTTGGCACAGGTCTACTGTTGCCTCGGGAGCCACGAAACTCGGACTGACCAATATTCATCAGCTCCGGGAAAGATGAGGATTGAGCTCCAGGTGCAATACCGGGCTCGTCATCATCACGTCCTGAGACGGAATCATCATGGTCAGGACGATTAGCCCCATGACCCTGAGAGCGATTAGCTCTTGAGGCATTAGACGATAGATCATCAGTGCGAGTAGCACTGGATCTCCCTGAAGGCATTGCTTCTGAAAAAGTGTGGTCCGACAAAAAGTCAGGACCGGAAAACGTCGGCTGTCCGGGCACCTGGCCGTCATTCACAACGTCCAAGATTCCGGCCTGGCCGAGAACCCACTCATCGGTCACCACATGAGGTCCATCCTCGGTGATTTCCGCCATGAGTCCTACAGTAGCCTATGGAAAACGGCGCCTGCAGGGTTGTTATTAAATGGGGTTCGCGGTGCCAACCGAGGACGAATCCTACGGCTGATAACCTGCGAAAGGGTTTGAAACAAAGTTTCGGGAGAGAGTAAACCGGCCCAATCCCACCAACAAGAAGAGAAGGTTTAAGCCCCCCAGTCCCAAGGGCAAAGCGGTGCCCTCGGCTGGCAAAGAACCACACAAGCAAATAACAAAGGGGATTCCTGTTTAACAGCCGTTCCCAAACAGGAAAGGGAACCAACCAAGCAAACCAAGCGAGCGAAGCGAGCAAAGCAATTAACCAAGCGAGAACAAAAACAAGCAGCAGAAAGCGAACCACCAACCCTAAGTCCTGACCCAAAACCGTGGCCACCCAGCCACCGCCTGCCCAGCCAACGGTGTCCTTTTCCGCTAGATGGGCGGCACGTGCCGCTGTCGTGGCGCCGACGTTTATGGCGGGAACAGAGTTGCCGTGGTTAAAAGCTTGAGCCAAACGGCGCGTTGGCCGTGGCATTGAAACATGTTGCGATAAAACTACATGCCCCCAAAAACACAATTCTTCGGAAGACCCGACCCAATGGAAGACATTAGACACCCCGTTTTGGTTGGGGGTCTAACCAGGTTGTTCGAAGGCGCGTCAATCGAATTGGAGCCTCTGGGCCTCAGGTTGGGGTGACCCCTGCATGTTGATGCCAAGCCCGCTGGATGTGTTGGTTGAAAATCCCCCCAACTTCAGAGGCCCAAAAATCGAATTGGAGCCTCTGGTTGAACATTTCCCCCAACTTCTGAGGCCCCAAAAACCGATCGCCGCCCCGCCCCCAACCGCCGCTCGCATCCGATTTTCGAGTCGCCTGCAGCTCCAGCACGCGGCTGGCGTCCGCTTTGGCCTTGGCCGTGGCGCTGCTCTCCAGCGCTTCGAACTCAGCCTTCAGACGCTCCCGCTCCGCCGCCTCTCGCGGAAGGAACCCGGCGATCCGAGCGATCCGTTTGCAGGGGGCCCCGTGGGTTCTGATTTTCAGGGGGAGTGAAACAAAAACGCGGAGGAAGAAGGGACAGAAGGAGAAAACGAGAAAACGCGGATGGAGCGCGGATGGAGCGCGTATCACGCGGAAAAAACGAGCCGAGGGGCTCCCCTTTTTTGGACAAGGCGCCACCATGTGGGTTCTGGGGGTTGGGAGTTGGAGTGCCTTCCAAAACCAGCTGAGTTTCGGGGCCGCGAAAAAGAACAACTTGGGCTGTCCGAACTATGGACACTTGTGTTGCCTGCCTGTTGAAAGGCGGGGTACCCAGGGACCGCAAGGAGGAAGTGGAAAAAGGGTCTGTGAAAAAAGGATGCCCCGTTTCACCCACAGAACAACTGCGCAGAAAACGGGTAGACTGGGCAACAGCTGTGTGAAAACAACCACCCGGCCACTTGTGAAAAAGGTGGAAGTGGACAGCAGGTTCTTTCAACATGATCATTGGAAAGGCGATGCTGGGTGAACAACTTGGGGCTAAACAGAAGCAGGCTTGGGGTTGAAAACTAGATCTGCCAAGTCTACAATCATCTAAGTAAAGGTCGGTTGGGTGTTACATAGGGGGTTGTGGGCAACTAACAAACATTGGCCGTTGATCATCCGGAAATTGGTGCCTGGTGTGCAATCAGCATGTGCCCTGTGCAATCAGCATGTGGGGTTGTAAAAAAACCCCGTGACAATTTAGCTGTCCCCCAAACGTGTTATCGTTTTTTTACTCTTATCGTTTTGCAGGGGTTTGCAAAGTGCATGCTCAAATCAAAGGAAGGCTAGCACAGCGTGCAGTGACTGTAGCTCTGCCAAGAAGCTCAAGCAAGCAAGCGCGAGCAGCAAGCTAACTGGTTTAGTCAGACTCTGCGCTAGAGCTATCACTGTCAGAGCTGGAAGTACCACCCTCATCTTGAGGGGAGGCTTCCCCGCGCAACGCAAGGAGCTGCCGTTGCAGGCGAACCTTGTCGCGGGCTGCCCGGCGCGCCTTGCTCTGTGCTCGTTCGTGAAAAGTTTTGACTGGCCGTAGACCATCGGGGGGCGGCCGCGCCTTCTGGCTTTCATGCTTGCGGCACAGCTGGGTGGTGTCTCCAGGGTTCGGCGGCTCAAGTTCCCAGGTCTTCTCTCCTTCCAGGTACGAGCGCTTCCACTCCAAGGGCTCTTCTCTGGTGTGCATCTGGATCTGATACGACATGGCTCCTTCAGCAGGTATTGCGATGTCCGAAAAGACCAAGTTGTGCACCACTGGTTTTTTCGCTCTGCTTGCAGGCTTCAAAGCCATCATGCAATATGTTCGTGTAATCTTGAAGCCAGTAGAGACAAACAAGCCAACTTCAGAAGCGCGATGAGTGCCGAAATCAACCTTCTCGCAAAGCCACCGTGGGCCTTCGGGGTCCAACGCCATTGCCTCATCCGCACCTGCTTTGAAGGCAGTGAGCAAATGGTCCAAGCTATGAATTGGCTTCTTCAACGCGTAGCGTCCAAGCCACCCGTGCATGCCTGTAGTCCCAAAAGCGCCGTCCAGCAAGGACTTGCCGTGCTGTTCGCCAAGGAAATTGACTCGCACGGTCTGCTTCCGCTGGAAGCACACTTGCATCACTCGGTGGTGCAATGACTCCGCGCTCCGAAAATGAGGGCCACAGTCACTGAAGAAATGAAGGCAACCAGCTCGGGACACATTTGCCATTGCGAGCACCTGCTCCAGCATAAGGTTGGAAGCCTCTGCAGTTTGCTCACGGATTTCTGAGATCAGCATCAAATAGGTTTGCCTCATCTTGGCCTCGTCTCCCGGCAGCTGTTCCCACTGAAAAACACAGCACCCGAAGCAGCTGATTGCATACTTCTGCTGGGCGTGCCACATGTCTCCAGTCTCTTGTGGCCCCACTGGCAAGCGTATCTTTTCACGCCAATCAAACACCAAGAGCGAGTCCTCGAGCGGCAAACCTTCAGGAGTCATCAACTTTTTCAAGCACTCCTGCTGGCGCCTTGCTGACAACATGTGCCACAAATAGCTGCGCAGCAAAGACCGATGTCCTCGGAGCAGCACCAGCGCCGGCGCTTCTGTAAATGTGTGCAGCTGTAATCGGTCGCATCCGCTGCGCTCTCGCTCCTCGCGGTACCTGGCGCAGTGAGAATTGATGTACTTGCACGCGGCGTCTGCCTCCTCTCCGCAGTCGGCAAAGTTCGAGGGATTGAAATGGTCAAAATAGTTCGGGTACACACTCTTGAGGTCATTCTGAACTGTTGCCCAGTCTTGGTGAAACCGTGGGACCAAGTGCCGCCAATAGCACTGGCAATGGCTGCACACATCTGTGTCGCGATGGCCTTCGCGAAAATCTGCAAAGTGCTTCTTCAACACCTTGTAGAAACTGGTGCGGCTGAACAGGCTTTGCAATTCCTCATTCTCAGACCACATGCGGGCTGGAGTTGCCAACAGCGACTGGCCAGGCACCACTCGTTCGTCAGCTTGGTCGCCTCTTGGGCGAGCTCGGCCGAAGCTGCCATCTGCATTCTGGTGGACGCTCGCCACCTTGCTGCCAGGTTTGGAATTCCTCTCAAGCACTGCACGCGTGACAGCCAGTGTCGCTGCAGACACCTTGCTAGGTGCTCCGCCTTGCCGGGATCGTTCCCATAGCCGCCGGCTTTCCGCCGTGGCGCCACCTTGGAAACGTTCGCCTTGCAGCGTCCTCCAAGCCCGTCTGCCAATGCAATAGCCGTGCTTCTGCAAGAAACTCCTTGGCCAGGTTCTCTCATTTGACATAACGAAGTCCAAGTCCGCAATGGCGATGCTTTGGAAACCTCGCTGCGTGGCCTCTTCTCTGAGCTTGCCAAGCGTCCGCACGATGACATTATCAACAACGGGCTCGTCGCGTAGGAGTTCTTGCTTCATGCCGGGGAAGGTGGTGTCGACCCGCGCCACAAGCTTCTTCAGCAACTTTGACACCAAGCCTCGCTGCTGCCGACCGTGGTGTAGCACCCGCCGGGCAAGGTCTGCAGCCGCGGAGCATCTCTTGCCAAGCGCTGGCTGAGCTCTCTTTTTTCTGGAAGTGCTTGCTGTCATTTTGCGCTTCCGGGGCGCCGACGCCCGGCTCTCCGCTGGAGCTGGGCTCGCCTTTGGCGCCGGTGCTTCCGCAGCAACAACAGCCTGGTCAACCACTGAGCTTGCGGCAGCCTGCTCGTCGCCCAGCACAGCCAGTAGACCGAGAGCGCTTTTGACCACAATGTTTCCAGAACCCTCCTCCAAATGGTAGTGCTCCTTCAGCGACTTGTTCTTCAGCGCGTTGAAGATCCACCTCTGCTGCTCCTTGGTCAAGTCCGCAAATTTGGCCTTGCCAGGGACCGCGCGCTGCGCCAGCGCCTTCAATCTGGGGCCCACTTGAGGGTGCTGCAGCAATGTCTTTTGGAGCCGCGAAACCGCAGCCGCATCCATAGCTCTGGGGGGGGCGCGCCCAACAAGAGCAACGGCAGACCAGAAAGCTTACCTTCAGTAGCACTAGCTAGCTGCACTTCTGTCCGTTGACACGCTTCCACGCCTCCGTGTAAAACCTGTAGCCAGAGCATAGGCATGTTGGCGATGTGGGCCATGCTGTGGCAAGTCACATTTTGTGACCAAACGTTATCGTTTTCGTTATCGTTCCGGTATCGTTTTGGAACCCCGTTTCGGGATGGCTGCTGTGCTCCAAAGTCACACTTTTGGCACGCTAGGCCTCGAGTCTGACCGCAGAACATGCGTGGACAAACTGCGCGCCTACAACTTGCCCGAGTTCCACTAGAAATAGTCTTCGGGGAGCCGGCGTTGCAAAACAGAGGTCCCAGGCTCGAATCCCCCTGCCGGCTCGGGTTTTCCGCCTCCTTTAGCCAAAAACATAGAAATCCCGGTGCATGGGGGTTTTGGGGCAATCCTCATATACATATGTATGCAACACACACACATAAATATATATATATATATATATATATTTGTGATTTTATATTTATATGAACGAAATGGTGTCCAAACGCTTGCGCCAAAGTACAGTCAAAGTACATGGGCTCCGATCAGGGTACCCTTTCTCAGGTTCGTTTTTTTCAGGGAAGCTAAAAGGAAAACAAGAAATTGGAGACATGCCCTGTTTTGAGACATACCCAATTGCAAGCGCTCTGCCAAAAGCCCGGAGTCCCCCCACCAACTCGGCCGGCCTGGCCCCACGACGCAAATTAAGCTGCCACAAGTGAATGCGAACAGACCCCAGCCATATGAGCAATTCAAAATAAGTGGTTTTCCTTGAGGTGTCCATTTAAAACAGCCACAGAACACAATTACCCTGTCCACTAACATGGACCACCAGAGAGTCCCTTTTAAAGGAAAATAGTCCACTTGCGCCGAGCCAGATTTGTTGGAAAATCTCTTGGTGCCTACTAATGACATCCTCTGAGCTGCCAGTCGGCTAGTGCCCTCCGAACACCTGGTTTATTACTAAGGTGTGTTTTTGGGCTTCGTTGTCCAGAGGCGGGAAAAGGGCCAGTCAACGCTGCGTTCTTTTGCCCGTGTCCCCCGGCGCTTGCTGCAGTTACAAAAACTGCCCCAGAACCTGCTATGCACAATCAACCCAAGCAAGTGCCGCAATTGCAGGTGTCCCCGCTGTAATTGCTGAGCTTTCTGCGCTCCAGAAGGGAACGCGCGCGCCACACTGACAAGGCGCCCGCTTTGCGGTACACCGTGTACGATCGGCATCTCAAGCCAAAATCTTTCGCGGCTCTGACGCAGCAATAGCACAAGCTCCCACGCGGAATGCTAGCCTGGGTGCGCTCAGCTGACCGCACCTCGCCCCACTTCACTTGATGTCGTTGCCCCCCGCACACCTTGCAGTGCTCATTAGAACTCATGGTTTGGCGTGGCTGTAAATGGCTTGTAACCAGGGACACAAACCTGAAACAAAGCACGCTGCTCTCTTAAGTGTTTTGCCGCGCCAAGCAAGAGGCGTCTTCCACGCGCGCGCGCGCGCGGACATGACCCGCCTGCAGGGCCTCCTGAAACTCCACTGGCTCTGGCATCTTTGCACGGAAGCGTTTGTACCCCTTTGTCTGCACGGGCGAAGTTTCCACAGCTGCAAACGGTCGCTTTGCGGGCGTGCTCTGAGCAAGAGGCTCTGTCAGCTTGGCAGCAGGTGACTGCAAAGCAGGTGCAGGAGCCTGAGCCGGAGCCGCCGGTGCAGAAGTAAGAAGTGCGGGTGCCTGAGCCACCGGTGCAGAGGTGAGAGGTGCGGGTGCCTGAGCCGCCGGTGCAGAAGTAAGAAGTGCGGGTGCCTGAGCCGCCGGTGCAGAAGTGAGAGGTGCGGGTGCCTGAGCCGCCGGTGCAGAAGTAAGAAGTGCGGGTGCCTGAGCCACCGGTGCAGAAGTGAGAGGTGCGGGTGCCTGAGCCGCCGGTGCAGAAGTAAGAAGTGCGGGTGCCTGAGCCACCGGTGCAGAGGTGAGAGGTGCGGGTGCCTGAGCCGCCGGTGCAGCAGTAAGAAGTGCGGGTGCCTGAGCCGCCGGTGCAGAAGTGAGAGGTGCGGGTGCCTGAGCCGCCGGTGCAGAAGTAAGAAGTGCGGGTGCCTGAGCCACCGGTGCAGAGGTGAGAGGTGCGGGTGCCTGAGCCGCCGCCTCCATGGGTGCCTGAGCCGCCGGTGCAGAAGCCAGAGGTGCGGGTGCCGCCGGCGCTGCAGCTGAACCAGCCGGCGCGTGAGCACACGCCGCTTTCTTCGGCGGTGCCTCCTGAGGACAGGCCCAAGAACACTCTGTGCGGCTGCCAACTACTGGTTTTGGGGAGCTACTAGTCCGTTTTGAAGCGGGGGCCCTAATGTGTCTTTAGAGCCACTGGCGGACCAATGGCCAGTCCTGAAGCTTCCGCATTGTTTTTGAAAGGCACGATGATTCCAGCCAGGCGTTCTGGTAACTCGGCCAAGCAAAACAGATTGGGTCACATGCGAATCCAATCCTCTGAGCCACACTTCTCCCTCATTAACTGCTGACACGTGGCAGGATGCACACATGGTGCGAAGCCCTCGGCCGAAACTCGTTGGTCAACATCTCGCTGTCCTTGGGCGAGATGCAGTCCCAATATGCGACTTACACAAATACACACACACACAAGCATGCCAATGGTGGCACTGATGCTTCCCACCCTGCCGAGAGTCACACTGCGTTGTCCAAACGGCCCACTTTGCGCTCCATACGGCGGGCTTCATTTTGCCCGTACCTTGCAACCAGTATTCAAAATTGATGCCAATTTGGTGACAGTCCTCATTCTGTGCACCAGTGCTGCCAAATCACAGGCTTTGACGTGGCACACGGACGGCACGTCCAATGCCGGAGGCTGGCACACCGACATTACATCCACAGCCGGGGCCATGGCACCCAGCAGGCAAAACAGCACCTATAAGCCCAAAGCCACCTCCACAGCAACATCCGACAAGATGGAAAGGTGCACTTCAAACAACCCCATGAAAGCCCTGTTATCGCTTTTTTTTACTCTTATCGTTTTGCGGGGTTTTTTAAGCAAGCGCCATTCAGGGGCACGTCCCTTCATAATTAAAAGGCGCGGGGTTATTTTACAATCCCATGTGGCTTTTGGACCATGAGGCGGTACATAGCCCAGCGTTTGGCTAGTGGCTTCAGTTTGGGGGGAGCCCAGCGACTTGGAAGCCTGTTTGGCCCGAAGAATGCCGTTCAAACAAGGAACCCGCCGGCTTAACACGAACGGGGCTCAAAGAAGATAACTTCTAGAAGATAACATATAAGAAGCCACACATCCGTTCAACATACTCCCTGGACCTTCGGGCAGGATCTTCCTGGGAGGCAGCACCAAAGTAGCATTCCCATCCAACCAGGACTACTCACTTTCAAGGAGGTTTCTCTTGGCCAACAGAAACCGGAAACCTAAGACCTAGTTTTTTATATCATGTGCCCATACCTAGCTACCTAGCTACAAGTGCACAGGCAACTTTCCTTTTCGGCAACTTTCCTTTTGGAAAGGTTCCCAAAAGCCAAGGCCATGCGCGTAGGGCAGCTGATCCCGAAACGCCTGGGTCTCGGAGAATTCCTTCTCATCGGCCTGCGTTTTGCTCGCCTCCTCCTGGCGATTTGCGATCCACTGGCTTTGCGGGAAGACGGAGCTGTTTTTTCTTGGGCATGTCGTGGACCTTTGAGGGAAACCGCTCCAGAAAAGTTGTTGAACAAGTTCAAACATGGGGGGAACCCCTTCACAATTTGTTGAAAGGAACCTACCTGGGTTGGTCGCAGTGGGTCACAAGGCTTCAAACAAAACTGTAAAAAAGGTCGGCTTGGGCAGGTCCAAGTGAATGCGACACAGGAACCTAGAACAATCTAGCAACATGGGATGACACACCAAGAACACCCAGCATGAGACCTGATTTCCACGCCAGGGTGTCAAATTGATGCTCAACCTTGAGGCCCGGCGGTATTTGGGGAAACAAGTCGGCGGGCGGCAGGCGGTGAATGTCTTGACCTTAGTATGTTTGGACCCCCCGGGCGAGCCGCCCACAAGACATCTCCTCGCTTTTCTGCTTCTTCTCCTGAAGGTCCTCAATCTCTTTGCGCCGCGCCTGTTCGCGAACGGGCCCTATTCCGGGTTGCTCAAGGGATCCAAAAAGTAGCGATGGACAAAATCATATGCTCCAGTTGGTGGGTGGTTTGCCCCAATAACAGGGTTTCTGGCGTTGGGTGCAATTTGCTCCATGTTCCCGCCTAGGCTGTTGGTGAAACCAAGACCGGTCCAAACAAAAAGGGAACCAGTCTCAATTTCAGGAAGGTTCCCAACATGTCCGGTTTAACATCACTGCATGCAAAGTAAAGTTACTGCAAACCAACCTTTCCAACAGGTGATGCTTAACAAGACCTTTGAGGGGTACTGACACCCTTTGTACATAGGCATGTAGGAATGTAGCAATGTAGGTATGCAGGTATGTATGCATGCATGTATGCATGCATGTATATGTGTGTATGTGTGTATGGGTGTACATATACATGTGTGTGTGTGTGTATGCCTGTATGCCTGTATGTCTGTATGTCTGTATGTCTGTACGTCTGCATGCCGGCATGCCCGCATATCCGTATGTCTGTATGTCTACATGTCTGTATGTCTGCATGCCTGCATGTCTGCATGTCTGCATGTGTGTCTGTCTGTCTGTATGTATGTATGTCAATATAGCAGTATGACAGTATGTCAGTATGTATGAATGCATGCATGCATGTATGTATGTATGTGTGCATGTGTGTGTGTGTATATGCGAGTGTGTTTGTGTGTATGTCTGCATGCATGTATGCATGTATGTATGTGTGAGTATGTATGTATGTATGTATGTATGTATGTATGTATGTATGTATGTATGTATGTATGTATGTATGTATGTATGTATGTATGTATGTATGTATGTATGTATGCATGTCATGTATGCAGGTATGCATGTATGTCTGTATGGATGGATGGATTGATGTATAAATGGATGGATGTAACTGTTGCTTTTACATTGTTGGGTGCGCGTGCCACGGGTGGTTTCGGCGGTGTGATAGGGTAAGCAACGGTCGAGGAAAAGTCACCCCTGACCGATTGTTCCCCCGTGGCCAGGCTTAACACGGTCTCCTGTTGTTGCTGGGCTTGGGTGGAAGTGAAGTGGAGGCTTAAGGTGTGTTGGGGGGGGGAAGTGTGTTGGGCTGGATTGGAGGGTATTGGGCGCCTGTTCGCGACCGAAGCTCAAGTGCAGGAACCGGTCTGTTGACCGCATAACCCGCGAGGTTCCACTCTCGCCTATGAACGAGTGGGTTGGGCGAAGCCCTGCTTAAAGGAGTGTAGCATCCACTGTATGGAACCAGCCCATTGGCTCCGATCCAAACCAGTTGGGCCAGGTGCACTTTGAACAAACGTCCAACATGTGTCCACCTGCTCCCAGCATAGCCAATCACAAGGCCCACAACAACTGTCATCGTAGACAAGGTGAGGTCGTCCTGGTTGCCACTAAGAAGGAAACTTCCCCTCCAAACCATGACTCAACCCCAGGAAGTGAGCCGCAAGTGAGCCAACCTCGGTGCAGTACGCATCTCCTCGTGGTTTCAAACGGATCGACCCCGACATTGGCAGCCCCTCGATTTGCTCGGCATCGGCGCGGCCTCCTTCCCGGAGTCTTGGTCCTGCGCCATGGTCACCAGCTCAGACTTCAGGTCCTGCGGAGTCGAATCGGCTGCGTGGCTAGGTGCGTCTCCTGTTGAAAACACAGACACATCTGAGTTTGTCTGCCCTGAAACAACGAACCTTGGCCAAGCAAAAGTCCAGCGCGCGCGCGTGTGTGTGTGTGTGTGTGTGTGTGTGCGTGTGTGTGTGTGTGTGGGTGTGGGTGTGGGTGTGGGTGTGGGTGTGGGTGTGTGTGTGGATGTGGGTGTGGGTGTGGGTGTGGGTGTGGGTGTGCGGCGTGTGCGTCGTGTGCGTCGTGTGCGTCGTGTGCGTCGTGTGCGTCGTGTGCGTCGTGTGCGTCGTGTCGCGTCGTGTGCGTCGCGTGTCGCGTGCGTGTGCGTCGTGTGCGTCGTGTGCGTCGTGTGCGTCGTGTGCGTCGTGTGCGTCGTGTGCGTCGTGTGCGTCGTGTGCGTCGTGTGCGTCGTGTGCGTCGTGTGCGTCGTGTGCGTCGTGTGCGTCGTGTGCGTCGTGTGCGTCGTGTGCGTCGTGTGCGTCGTGTGTCGTGTGCGTGTGTGCGTCGTGTGCGTCGTGTGCGTCGTCGTGTGCGTCGTGTGCGTCGTGTGCGTCGTGTGCGTCGTGTGCGTCGTGTGCGTCGTGTGCGTCGTGTGCGTCGTGTGCGTCGTGTGCGTCGTGTGCGTCGTGTGCGTGTGCGTCGTGTGCGTGTGCGTGTGCGTCGTGTTCGTGTGCGTGTCGTGTGCGTGCGTGTGCGTCGTGTGCGTCGTGTGCGTCGTGTGCGTCGTGTCGTGTGCGTCGTGTGTGCGTCGTGTGCGTCGTGTGCGTCGTGTGCGTCGTGTGCGTCGTGTGCGTCGTGTGCGTCGTGTGCGTCGTGTGCGTCGTGTGCGTCGTGTGCGTCGTGTGCGTCGTGTGCGTCGTGTGCGTCGTGTGCGTCGTGTGCGTCGTGTGCGTCGTGTGCGTCGTGTGCGTCGTGTGCGTCGTGTGCGTCGTGTGCGTCGTGTGCGTCGTGTGCGTCGTGTGCGTCGTGTGCGTCGTGTGCGTCGTGTGCGTCGTGTGCGTCGTGTGCGTCGTGTGCGTCGTGTGCGTCGTGTGCGTCGTGTGCGTCGTGTGCGTCGTGTGCGTAGTGTGCGTCGTGTGCGTCGTGTGCGTCGTGCGCGTAGTGTGCGTCGTGTGCGTCGTGTGCGTCGTGTGCGTCGTGTGCGTGTGTGTGCGTGTGTGTGCGGGTGCGTGCGGGTGCGTGTGCGTGTGCGTGTGCGTGTACGTGTGCGTGTGGGTGTGGGTGTGGGTGTGGGTGTGCGTGTGGGTGTGGGTGGGGGTGGGGGCGGGGGTGGGTGTGTGTGTGTGCTTTTGAGGGTGCTACTTTTTTGGTGGTATTGAAGGGAAACCAAGAGGAAAACCACCACTTCGGGCCCCGGTGGTGCCCTACAAAAAGACACCCGTATGCAATTGGCACATGGAGGGTACATTCCAATCTTGATGCAGCCGGCTGGCCAGGGAAGCCATGGCAGGGCCACCCTGAATTGTCCTCAATGTCTCCCTCGATGGCACTAAACGCTTTCCCCCCTAAACAAAAACACACACAAACACCCACCCACCCACCCCGAATTTCACCCCCCCCCGGTGCGTCTTGATTCTGAAGGGCCCCCCCTGTTTTTTGGGAGTCAAGAACTGGGAGAAGAACCTCCCAGTTTGCACAAACAAGTTCAAAGATGCGCATGTCATGCCGTTTTGTTCTTTGTGTCTTGCTTGAGAACTGGCTTCAGTAATGCGATTTGGGTTGGACCTGGCGGGACATTCTGGTAGAAGTCAATTCAGTTTAGCGCGGACGGATCTCGGGCGTTGGGAAGAAGGCAGGCCCCACCGTGGACGGGGCACGTCGCAGCGAGCATGCACTCCAAAGAAACCCTCAAACAAGAACCACGTTTGCCAACGGCTTGCTGAAAGCAAGTGCGAATTAAACAATCTGAGTTCTCTTGTGGACTATCTGACGTGCATGAGTACCCTAGCCACGCCTGAACAAACAATCCGCATTTACCCAGCGCTCACCTCACTAGCACTACGTGGATTCAGTTGGCGTCAGCGCAGGTGACCAAAACAAGCCCAAAGTGTGTCTTGGCCTGCCAAAACAAGTTCAAAGTGTTTGTTGCCTGCCCAACAATGACTAAAGTCCAAGAAGTCCGCCAGCACCCAGCTATCGCTCCTCGCATTTCTTCTGGATCAGCTGCAGGTCTTTCTGGGCCTTGTTGAACTGACTCGTCACCTCCGCCGCCTGCTTGCACTTGCTCGTCAGCACCGTCCTCCTGACATCGTGCGCGCAGAGCAGAGTGAGGCCAAGTGAACGTTGGCGCGTGCTCAGGCTCTCAGCTTCCCTCGAAGTGAAGCTGACTGGTGGTTTGCTTTGGTGTTCTGGGTGTCGTTCTTGACTGGCCGTCACAAGAACCAAATCACCCATCAACGGCAATCTGAAAAACAGTCGTGCGCTTGAAGCTCAACAAAAACAGGACTGTGTACAGGGTTCGCCGTTTGACCTCCTGTCTTACAAACAATTGTTCATCCCTCCGCTTGGTCACAGTTAAATCTAAACACCCCCGCTGGCGCTACTTAAGTGAATTGGGATCACAGTTCCCCATTTATGAACATATGCGTATATATATATATAGCCTTCCTCAGCGGAATTTGCGCTGCCACAAATGGAGAACTCCAGGCTATTTTGCACCTCTCCGAATGCGCGCCCTTTGTCAGTTACATGCTGGCCCCTTGCAGAAACTTGGGCTTACTCGATCTGATATACATCCAGCAAACAAGGCAAATATAATCATATATATATATATATACCTGGGTCTTCCGTGGGCACTTTTTTCTGGATTTTCCCGTTTCGAGCAAAAATTACGCTCATTTCATCCAACAACGCTTAATTGGAAAGAAAACGCTCAATTGGAAAGTGGTTCTGGTGCGTGTCCGCACATTTCCGCTCATTTCCCGCCGATTTCCGCTCATTTCCCGCCGATTTCCGCTCATTTTCCGGGAGACAACTTGCCAAATCCTGCCAAATCAAGATTTCCGCTCATTTTTAGTTTTTCCGCTCAAAATCTGAAACGAGCAAAAAAAATGCCCAGAGCCCTAAAAAGTGACCAAATGGAAGACCCAGGTATACATGTACCGACTTCCTTCTGAAACTTTTTGTCAATTGGCTCAAAGCCTCCTTACACCCTCAACGTCCCTCAATGTACCCTTAAAACATGGAAGTCCTCTCATCATGTTAGGGTGGCTTCTCCTATTTCAGGGTAGCTTGAGCTCCAAAGGTGGGTAATGGGAAAAAAGGGCAAACTTTTTGGTTGGCTGGTTCTAAAAAGTGGCCCTCCCCCCTCCCCCCCCCCACCCCCGAAAAAGACTCCCAACTGCTCAAAAAGCACCGAGCGAATCGAGCGGGTCGCTCACCGAAACCGACGCAGCCAGACCTCTGCTGCGTCTCCATGAGCTCTTTGGCACCCGCCTTCGCAAAGAACGAGCCCTACTCCGCAAAGCAAATCTCGGTGGCAAAATCTGCTCCCCTGCTAAAAGTTTTGAACTTTTAGTGGTTTAATACGGAAAACCCAGTAGTTGGCAAAAAGTGAAAGTCCTAATGATTAACATCCAAACAAATGCTCCAAAGAAATGAAAGGCCCCCCCCCAGCACCAACACAAGCACAAACACAAAACAGCCCCTGCCAAGCAAACAAGACCCCCAACTAGAACATGAAGAAACACAAGCACAAAAAGGAAACCTCAACCAGATTCAGAGCTTCATGCCCGCCTTGACCTGGTCCTCCAACTCATGGTGCGCCCTGTCGAAGTCTGCCAAGGCTTTGGCATCTTCCGCAATCTGCTGCCCAAGATCCTCACCGGGAAAAGTGGACGCAGAATCCGCAATTTGTACAATAACTCCAACACCTTCATCATGATTTGCTTTTGCAGATTAAGTACCCGGGCCCTCGAACTACGCGGAGCAAATGAACTTCACACCCGGCGATGTCCCCATTTGTCTTGCGTGGTTTGAGGGGCACACGCAGCCAATGTTGGTGTGTTTGGAACATCTGGGGTTGCAGGACACCAAATCATAATCCCACGAGCAAAGTATGAGTAATTAATTGCTTCGCCCCTCAGAGAAAGAACCAACCGCTGACAGAAAGATCCACCGCCCCGTTTCATTGTTTTCCTCAAACTAGCAAATGCATGTTAAGGGCCTTGGTGGGCAGGGCCACGCAAAATGGGAAGGGTTAGAAGAGTTGGGATTCAATGAGCCAATGGTCACAGTGTCAGGAAAGGTTTCGCAACATATGCAAGATCCCAACCATGCATGAAGCCGAATTGAGCTCCCCCAGTGGCCATGGGCAAAACAGGGCACCCTTGCTTGCCAATTGATTTGCAAAGGGAGAACGAGCATCTCAAAGAAATGAGATAAGGGCGCCACGAGGGGTCTGGGCCACATTATTCCAACCTAAGTTTGTTTGGCTGCAGGTGATAGTTCGCAGTGGAAGCGGGGCGGGCTTTCCGATACTACGTGCCCACCCTTAAAGCCCCCAAAGCGTGAACGAGTGTGAGCGGGTCAAAAGGAAACATAAGAAAACCTTTTAGGTCCTTGGAAAAGGATCACCCGTTAGCCGGCCAAAAGAAGAAACAAAAGTCAAACCCCAAAAGCAAAATTGCAAAACGCTGGGTTCACTCTCATAATGAACGGTTTCCACAGTATCTTTCTGAAGGGACCTGGCAATTCGGTCCTCCAACGTCTGTTCGAGGTCCACCCGACGTCTTCTCTGCGAAGATGCTTGCAAGTGCCTACCTTGGTGACTGGTGAGAACTGATCTTGAGGCCAGTTGGTTACGTAGACGGCGAGCGCGGGTAAGCAAACGCAAACGAACTGAGCCATCTGCGTTGACATCACTTTGGGGGGTTCCATGCACCTCCCCAAAGCATGCCGAAAAGAGAGGCAAGAGAGAAAGAGAGAGAGAGAGAGAGAGAAAAAAAAAAAGAGAAAGAGAAAGAGAACGAGAAAGATAAAGAGAAAGGGGAAGGGGAAAGAGAAAGAGACAGAGAAGGACAGAGAGAGCGAGAGATGGGATGCAACCGCTCGAGAGCCCGTTTTTTTGCCGCAGGGCCCAGTTATCCGCTCGTGGTGTGGCTTGCTGGTAACAAAACGGACGGGATGCCTGGCAATGACCCCGAAAAGGGGCAAATAGTGGCAAATAACCCCAGAGAAATATAATACTCCAATTCTAGTAGAAGTTCCAGATTATGTACTGCGAGCGTGAGCGGCAATGGCTCTACTCTGCTATGCTGCAGTAGCTGTTATATGAGTTCATTCTGGGCCTTGAGCCCAGATTGCAGATATAATGTAGATGCGCGATTGCACGAGTCATGAAAACACAGAACAAAACAGACACACATTCGTTTTGACCTTCAGCATCGAAATGTGCGCCGTAGCCATACGACGGTTCGAAACAAAGATCCGGTGACGTTTGCTCTTTCTGAGTGACTGAATCGCCAATAGAATGGAAAAGCAATTGAAATTGCTGAGGTCGGTTGATGGTGCCGTGGTGATTCGGAGTTCAATACTCTGCTCTGTGAAACCGAGATATCTTCCAATCTGTTGTGCTCATGACGTCCCCTGCGCATGCCAGACACTCATGTGTCGGTCGCATGCAACTTGGATCATCTGATCCAGCCGGGAGGCAAAGGTATGCAAAGGTATTCGCATCGTGTTGGCCCATGACCTGCTACAAATGGTGCTGCGACGCGTTGATAAGTAGACTCTGCTGGAGCTGTTGCCCTTCACGAAGCATCCGGTCGCTCTGCCGTTGTCCTGCTTTCCCACGGATTCATGAAACCCGTGCCTTGGCGAAGGCCCGATAATACCTTCTTTCGCGATCTCTACGCTGGATCAGCCTTGAGAGAAGTAGTCAGCCTCGTTGAGGCAAAGGATGTGAATCCCTCGTCCTAGCTTGAGGCTTCCTGCAGACAGCAATTCCTTGTCGGAAGTTGCATGAAGACTTCTCCATCTGATGACATCTTCGTTGGTCTGAAAAACTACCACGATTGTCAATAACCCTGGTGGACCTTGAGCCCAAATAGTAAATGAAATAAATATATATATATATATATATTTATACACACATAATATAAGAGAGAGAGAGAGAGAGAGAAACAGCTTCTGGTGTACCAGAGCCACAAACCGGGCAGCCTCCCCCCAGCGGTGGCCCGCTCGGGATCAGGCCCGGGACTGGCTCCGCATGCGTCATTGCCAGTACACATAATATAAGTATGCATATAGACACGGTTGCACGAAGAGAACACCACCCGCCCCTGCAGCTGTGGAGCCCAAAGGTCGGGGAACCTGCTCTACAGGGGGCCCATGCCAATTTACAGAGGAGTTGCCCTTCGGTTTTCATCACTTCGCCAAAACCTAGATCGCTCTCTAATCCCAAGTTGCCAACCCCTGCAGAAAGAGGGAACCTTTGGAGTTGATTCCCGCACAAAAGGCAAATCATGAGAACAAAGGAAAACAAACGACTAGACAACGCCTAGTTGCAACCAACCCGTTTCAGGAGAACTTGTGGAAGGAGAGCCCGCCGAACAATTTGGGAGAAAGAGTGAATCTGAAAGAGCCAGTGGGGAATCCCAAAGTATAGCCCGGATTCATCCGAGGCCTAGATTGAACCCATAATTACATTAATAACACCCTGGATGACATGATGCGCAACCCATGTAAGGGGGGATCAAAATCATATTTGGGAGCATCCTCGAAACGACATTCCATAGTGTCCCGGTTGTTCAGTGAACTTGGTAAAAGCAGGAGCCCAGTGGAGGCTGGTTGATTCCTGGGTCGACGCGCCGCTAATTCAGCTAAGCCCGCCGTTCCAGGTCAGCAACGCCTCCGCCGCCTTGTCCCTGTCTGCTAATGCCTCGGAAGAAGCAGCTCGGAAGAAGCGGAATGCGGGCCATCAAACACGTGCCGCAAGACACTGACATCTGTATATGTTCTGCATGTGCGCATACATGTCTAAGTATGCACCTACATAACAATATATATATATATATATATATATATGTGAATGTATATATGCATAGATACACCCATACATGCAAACACATATGCATATACACATACTACATATATATATATATATATATGCAGATATGAATACGCATTTAATGACTATATAAAACCGTACATCACAACTCCCCAAATTTATGAAGACTTCCCCTTCCTCCAGCTGAGAACCTGCACCAAGACTTGGAGAACAGAAGCTACATGGGGCCGACTCGCTTTACCTGGATCGATGAGCTTGCCATAAAAATCATGCAGATACGCTCATTCGGGGATGAATGCTGGGGATACAGCTATCAACATGTGTTGCAAAACACTCGGGCTTTTGTCTTGATCGGCTGATCCCTGCAGAGTGCGTTTCGATGGCTCCCGCCGGGCCTACCTGTTGCAAAGAGAGACGAAGAAGTAAGACTTGAGACGGGAGGCATAAAATACAAGTTAGCTTGTGATTTTAAAATAGTGAGGTAACAGCCGGAAGTTCGCTGGCCATTTCAGCAATAGAGTAACATCCCGGAAGTTGGCAGGACATGTTTGGCCAACCAATGCGCAACGGAAGTCCTGCCATGCCTCCCGTGAAGGACGTCCGATCAACTTGGAAAGGCTGGAGGCAAAACTTGTCTGTTTGTTGGCTTGCAGGGTCATAATCATTCCCCTTCCCCCTGTCCAAAACGCAAAAACAAATAATACAAGGTAACGGCCCAACTCAAAAGCATTGAAGCAACGGTACCTTTTGTCAAGAGCGCCCTAAGGGGGCCCTATGCTGGCCACTTGTCTTGTTGGGCTTGTCGAAAAGCAGGGGTCCAATCTAAACCGTAGTGGGACACCACATCCTTGTCATGGCTAAGAAGTGTTCTCATGAAACATTACTATCTGGCACAAGTTCAAGGATCTTGCGGATTGACTTTAAAAAAGCGAAACCGCAGCATCATCACGGACCCCATCAGCCCGGATACATCCTTGTAGCATTGGCAAAGGCGCTGCGCTTCCTTCTGCCTAAGCTCCCAGCACCGTAGGCAATGGGCAAGGAGGGAGGGGCGGAGGGTCAATAAGGCCGGAACAAGGGCTTGGGCGCATATGTGGGCTCCCTCCCCCAGCCCCCCGTGATTACCATGTACAATTCCACAAGGCATCAAACCAAGGACGCGTTGCGTACGGTTGCCATAGAATTGGCATTGACATATTCCAAAGTAGGTTTACCATTTTGAGACAACCTTTGCCATCATTGAGCCAACGCCACCGCTCTCAGCAAGAAGTCTTGCGCTCATGGAATTGACCTATCTGCCCCCACAGGGAACAAATCAACGGATCATGCGTGGCTCCCCCAACTTGTGCAAGTAAAGGTAAGCCCTGTTCTGCAGCAAGGGGCATGACTGCAACCACACACACACACGCACTGTGGGCAAAATCTTCTTTGCTGCTGGGATGGATAAAACCCTGTTGCAAACCATCGCTTGTTGCACAGCTTTGGGAAACGGCCCCCTTTCGCGGTTCCATCTGCAGAGTAGCATAGACAACCTCCACGACTTTTCCGCAGTCGAAAAAGGAACTGATAACTGCAGACCCGTACCCATCTCCCCCGAGTCCATGTTCAAGGGGAATCATCCCAATCGGTCTTAAGACTCCCCCGCACTCCTCCAAGCAAACCTGGACAAACATCGCCCCCGCGCAACAAAGCACAATTGCTTGCTTGCAAGCCGTCTTGCAATCACGGAAAAGCCAAAAGACAACAGGGTTTGGAGCAAACGTCTGGCAATTGTTTGTGTTCCCCTGGTCGTCAAGGGTGCAATTCCGGAACCCGGCGCGGTCTGCAAGGTGTGCCAAGCCTTTGGTGGGAGGAGATTGGATTTGGTTGCTCAAACGCGCTGAAAAAATGGTCCACCAGCCCAACTCGGGCCCCCGGATTTCCAAGGCTCCACCACTGGCACTGGATGATTGAGGACAACTTCGCCGCTTCAGCGCTGGAGACCAGCTTCAAAGCGGCGGAGCGAAGATGGCTCCTTGGAGGTGAAAACGCCGGCGTTCACACCAGGGCTTGGCCTACTCCTGAATGTTGACCCCATATTAATCAATCCCTGTTTCTTGATGTGGGGATGTTCCGGGTTTCAGCGCGGATTCGTCCTTGAACTTGAAGAGTGCGTCTGTTTTCCTAGGCATCTCCTTTTTGGGTTGGTTCAGGAAGAAAACCAGCTGTTCTTGGACTCCAGCAGTTTGACCCACACGAACCACACGCCACACGCAAAACGCAGCATGTGCCAATGGCCTAGGGAAACAGCCCCCCCCCGGCGCCAGCCGCCAAAGCTAGGCAGCGATATGGCCCTCAAGAACCTCACCAGGAGGTTGATCCCAACCACAGGGAAAGGTGCGATTCAACCAAATCAGGCTGCCATCTCCCCTTAAAGTTGTGGCACATGGGCCGGCTTTTCTGTGACAAGTGGAGGCTTCCCATCCCTGAAGGGCATCTCCACACAGAACAGGGGCAAACCTTGCCTCTCCAAAACTTGACAGAAGGGAATCCGAAGCAAATGAACTAAGTCATGAGCTTCTTTTTCCCCACGGCGAGTTCGTCACAAAGTTCCACAACCATAAGCCTTGCCTCGCACCAAGATGCCCCTCGAGCTTCTGCTCTTTGGTTGGCACATTAATTTGAGTGACGGTTCTTAGGCACTAGTTTACTAGAACACATGCATAGGGTTCCAAACGCTCAACGAACAGGTGTCTTCAAAGGACGTCCACAAACCACCTGCTTCAAAACACCTTGGATCAAAATCTGCTGGTGATTTGTTGATTGGCCCAAATATGCCCTTGCGTCTGAGCCAGTGTTATGTGTTAGGTGTCAATTAAATATTTCACCAAGCATCGGCAGGCTGGAGACTTTGCTCAAATCCGTGCGCAGCATTTTTGCCTCCTTCAAGCCTTCATTGGCCAAACCTTGCGGTGGGGCTGAAGCTGGCAAGCACTTGGCCCGGATGGCCTGCGCGAGAGCTCTTGAAGGCGCAGCGGCTTTTCTTCTCTTTTTTTTTTGCGGTGGGTCTTGGGAAAGCCCAACGCGTGGAGCAATGGTCAAGACCCGGCTCTCCAAACATGACCTGACCTTGAAAACGCCTAAAGGCCGAGCGAGTGGGCCTTGCGGGAATGAGTCAACAGTTCGCCTCTGGAAATCCCTGCAAAATGTCCGAGAGGTCTGAACCGAAGACCAGCCAAGCCGCCAAAATGGGTGGCTTGCGGGTGGCGGAATACATCTGGTGGAACCAATGCCCAAGAACCCAAACTAATCTTTGCATCGTATTCATGCAGATCTCTGTGTTTGTGATAGACATACCATCATACACAATCATCTCCACAGGCCATCTTATCACCCGGGCGTGCCTTGTTTTGGAGGGCACCTTGTTGTTGTTTGTTTGGGGTAGGGATGTTCTTGTGAAACTCCAGGGGCAACCATATAGGTTTGTGTAGACACACAAGCATCTATATCTATATATCTATGTCTGTAAATATGTATATAGTGTACACGTGTATCTAAATCACGATCTTGTCACATTCATGCACTTCGCGAGATTCAAATTACACGTCGTTGCACTGGCAAGGGCGGCTGGGCATCAAAAAGGCAGCGAGCTCCGCCGAACCCAAGAGAAAACAGGTATGCGAAACCATCTGTATAGTTAGTCATGTGGCTGTGGCCCAAAAAGATGTACCAAAATGGCACCTTGGTAAATGGAACCAGGGACTAGGCTCTTCAATTTTGAGCCACCACCCATGTGAAGGTTTTCCTTTTCACCAAACGCCCATAAATAACGATAACCCCCTTCCCCCCCACCCCGCTCACGCAGATTCTTTTGGGGGCCTATCTCCCTCCCCACAGGCCCCACACCCCCAACCGCCAACCCTCCCCGAACACACTCCAACCTGCAAACCCCTGCTACCCTCCAGCTAACATGGGTTTGTGCGCAGACCCCTGCAGAAAGACTTTTCCTCTTGGTTAGTTGGCCTTTTTGCACGAACCCATATTAGTTGGTGGGAGGGTACGCCGAAACAACCCCCAACCCCCAACCCCCAACCCCCAACCCCCAACCCCCAACCCCCAACCCCCAACCCCCAACCCCCAACCCCCAACCCCCAACCCTCCCCGAACACACCCTTACCTGCTTCCCTGTGGACTGCTGCGCCAAGACAAAGTCGCACTCACGCCTCCAGCTCCTGCGCCATCAGCCGCTGCTGAAGCTCCAGCCGTTGCAGCTCCAGCGCCTGCTGCGCCTCTCGACTCCCGGCGGGCGCGCGAAATTGGAAGACCCCAAATCCCGCACCCAACCCCCCCACCCCACCCCACCCCCAACTCCACGCATCCTCTCCCCTTTGAAGGAAACAACATTAAGCTTGTTTTGATTCATCAAGGTGGTTCAAACCAGGCTTCGAAGCTGGTGGCCAGCGTCGGTCGGAACGCAACCGGGAGATTGAAATGTCCCAACCCCCCAATCTCAAATTCACATGCATCCTGAAAACCGGGTTCTTTAAGAGGAGATCCCAAGCCTAGGCGAAGAGTTCACCACCCCGGAACCGACTCGCAACCAAGCCTAGAACCAAACATAAACCAAGCCGTACCCAATCCTAAACCACCCCTGGACCCACCCAAACTGACCCCAAATCAAGCCTTGATCAACCCTAAACCAACCTGAACAACTCCATCACAGGACCACAGGACGACAGGGTGGGGCACATGACCGTTGGGAGGGCTGGGGTGAGGGAAGGCAATCCACATATATGTACATATACATTTAAAATTGGCGTTCCTTGGCGAGGCTGTTCCTCTGACAACTTTGGCGCTGGATCGTAAATCTCGCAAACATTATTACCTTCATGGTTTACTGTGACTGTGGATGAATGATCCTTGCCTGTCTGTGACGGGGGTCCCTCATAAAATGATACTGGAGGAATACCTTCTGCTGGCATTGTCTGCCCTTCGGACCGGGAGCAAGGCCTGGCACATGTTGAGGACAAACATTCGGTCCTCTAAGAAACATGAACATACTTGTGGAGAATGAGCGACCACTTCTGCCCCTTCTTAGTGAACCACTGCCTTCAGTTGTTTTCCTTTGCGATGGGCTGCTCCTGTTGCGGTTGGACTAGTGCGCCTAGGTCGGCCTCAACGCATGGCCGACACGGCGCCCCGCGCCTTCCGGGTTGACACTGCGGCAGCTTCCTTCCTCGCGGAAAAGATCTGGAAAGAAAAGGTGGTGGCTGGTGGTCCCACTTTTTGGTGACGATGTGGCTGTGGGTCAAACTAATGGTAGCATTTTGGGGTAGGTGCACCACCCATTTTAGTCCATTTTAGTGGGGATTGGGGTGTTCACTGGGGCTACGGGGTTTCGACCCATGGCCATGTGGAGAATGGCAATGCAAAACTAGTTGATCACAAGGTGGCCTGGAACAGCACACATCAAATGAGCGAAACCTCGAAACTTGGTTGAAAGGAAAAGGATCCGAAATAAAGCAAACGGATCCGAAAGGAACATGATGGAAACTCTGAGGGCAAGCGGCGGAAACCCAAGAAAACATGAAAACACAAGGGCCGGTTAAAACTGGCCGAATAGGCCCAGGAATGCAACATCTCTACTCTTGGTATGTTAGCGATAAACTTTGTTTTTTGCAGACCCCCAGTAAAAATGAACAGAAAAAATCAAAAAAAAAAACATGCCAAGAACAGTGAAGACAAGATGGTTGAAGCCAGAAGGAACATGATGGAACATGCGAGTGGTCAGTTTCCCCTTCAGGAAACTGGGCCCAGCTCTTGTCGCTTACACCTCGCTTAAACCAAACACCAACTGCAAAATGGGTCACAACCGCCAGCAAACATGGTTTGGCGCGCAAACCCCTTTTCGGAAGCCAGCCGGAACTGGGCTTGCGAACATCTTTATCTTAGGGAATGCCTTCCTATGAACCATCCCCTAGAGCTTCCTTAAAGTACAGAGCAGCCAGCGCCACTGGTCAGTTCCTATACCTCCATTTGCGTCTTCGTTCCCTGGAACAAAATGAGAAAATTATTTCAGTAGTGAATTCGGTTCCCTTTAAAACCAACACTGAACAAAATATCCATTTCACCAAATGGCTGTGGCTCACAAAAAGGTACCAAAATGGCACCCTGGTAAGTGGAACCATGGACCAAAACCTGCGGTCTGCCCTTCCTGTTTAATTTTGAGCCACACCCAAATCATGGTTGTTCGGTCTTCCCGCCCACCTTTTCAGTTGAAGTGCTCCAACTGCACTCAACCCCAGAGGCCAAAACTGGCATCGCTATGTAAAGTATAGGATCGCTGCTCACCGATCCGATCCGAGAGTCTGCTTCCCATATGCCGAAGCCACCGCCTTGCAGGCGGCCTTCCAAGCCTCAAACGGCTCGCGCGAGGGAGCCGCGAGCCGAGCCGCCGGGCTCCGGCGAGGGCCGAGCCACAAGAAGTGTCAGGGATACTTGGTGGACGTTGGGTTTGGGGAGGACAACTTCAAACTGTAGGAGTTGAGTGGTTGGATTTCAACCACTAAGCCACAATAAGCAAAAATGGAGCATGTTTCCCAACAACAACCATGGATAGCGGAGGAATGAAAGGCGCCCGAAAAGAAGACCGGAGCTCCGAAAATTTGGATGGATGTTTGGAGTTTGCCTAGTCTCCTTGCCAAAGCCAGCGGTGGGAAGGCCCAGGATGATTAGCACGGGGTGTCCCATTGAAGAAAAACCTGGATCACTCCTTCGGGGAACTCGGGCCCCATTTGCCCATCAGGTTGCTCAATCGGGGCCGACGTTGTGGGTGCAATATCCTTGCCACGTAGACAGCCCCCCACAACACGCGTCTTTGTCGTGGCACCCTGAAGCACGCACGTGCTTTTGAAGCAAGCGCTGTCCCGCCAACTAAGTGGCACACAGACCTTTCCCGATTGAAAGCCAAAACCTCTCTTGTGGAAAGGGCTCCGGCTGCACCATGTTTGTTGGAGCAACGGCAGGTAAGCACTTGGTGAACGTTCACCATCTCCGCCACCTTTTTCACCACCACCACCACCACCACCACCACCACCACATCATCATCATCATCATCATCATCATCATCATCATCATCATCATCATCATCATCATCATCATCATCATCATCATCATCATCATCATCATCATCATCATCATCATCATCATCATCATCATCATCATCATCATCATCATCATCATCATCATCATCATCATCATCATCATCATCATCATCATCATCATCATCATCATCATCATCATCATCATCATCATCATCATCATCATCATCATCATCATCATCATATTCTTCATTATCATCATCATCATCACCATCATGAATCATCATCATCAAGAGAATGCTTGCCCTCGGCTGCGGACAAGCCAAACCCCTAACCTGAGGGGTTCTTTGGACCAGCCTCCCAATGAGGCTTGTGAACCTTCCCTAGGAACTCATCATCCCCAAGCACACCCTTGTCTGAGTGCCAGAAGGGTTTCAAAATGCGGGTCCCTTTGGTTTCGCTGCCGTCCTGGGTTAACATGGGTACCCTCAAAAAATACCCACCCACCCCCTGAGGGGGCCGAGGGGGGAATTGGTCGGCAATGAGTGCCCGACAGCTTCCGCATGCTGCTCTGGCACATCTGGCGGATTCCACACCCCCAGTGGCCATGGGCAAAAAGGGCGGGATAGTTGGCTTTAGAGGGGCCAACTCCTCAACGCAAAGGACAACCCAAAACACAACTGGAGGTCTGCGATTCCAAAACCAGCGGCTAGCGGTGGGCAATAAACCTGTGCAACAACAAATGGTGGGGGAACACATCTGCACTCCTGCAGCTTGACGTGGAACCCAGCAAACACCGTCTTTTGAAGGAATCTCCGCAGTCAGGGAAGTAAATACGAAACCCAATGGCCTAGTAGCGGGTTACCAAAGTGCAACACCAATGCAGGCGGAGCTTAAAGGAAGTGGCGCAGGGAAACGCAAACTGACAAATAAGCCCACGACATAGCAACACTGTCAAGGTCTTGCAGGGTCCTTCCTGAAAGCAAGGAGCCAGATCAGGAATGTCAATCCAATAACCTTGTCTAAAACCCGCTGCGTTGCTCCCAGCTTGCAAAGGTGCGACGATCCAACTATAATTTCTGACATGGTATTCAATCAAGCACCCTAAGGAGATCTAAAGGAACATGCCGAGGGAAATCCCAAACCTGCTGAGGAAGTTTAGACTGTTGGCCCTGGACTGAAATTGATTGCGAAACCTGGCAACAAAAAGGATCAACAGGAGATGGCAAAGACTTTTCGACCCAAAGCAGATTCTGGAGCCTGGGTCAGTTTCCAATGATAACCTTGGGATGCCTGAGGATGCGAAAGTAAATAGATATATTCCGTATAAATATAAACACATGTAGGCATGATGGATCTGATTGTTTCATTAGGCAGGCATGGGTTCCAGTGCTGCTTTACACCGCTTTGGGAGCCTGTGCAAATGGTGATGTATGTGTGTGTGTGTGTGTGCGTGTGTTTTCGCATTGGGTTTTCGGCAGGTTCTTGGGCTGGATTCCAGCCTGTCACAGTAGAATGGGATGACTGAAGGGGGCAAAACCGTTCATCAAACGGTTGTTTAGATCTATGTTGTACCATTTAGGATGTGATTCGATTTGGGGCTGGCGAAGGGCGGCCAATTACAGTTAAAAAGTGGAGAGGCAACTTTTAGCGGGTCTGAAACTCATGCTTCAACTGCCCATCCGCTTTTGGCTTCGGAACACTGGCTCATGTGCTATTGAGGGTTGGGCCAGCTGCTGGTTTAAGCGTGTTGAACCCACTTGCGCAACTTCCGCCAAGCTTCTTCCAGGGAACCGCGTCGCCAACCTGACTGCTCCCAGCTCAGACCGCCTCCCCCCGCCCCCCCCGCCTGCGCCGGACTTCTCGGCCGTGAAGGGCAGCGCCACAGGACCCGGCGCCGGAGGTGGCGCCATGTCCTGGAAGGGCAACGCCCGAGCGCGGGCCCTTCAGGCGAACATCGGCTTGAAAAAGCTGGCTGGTCTTCAGCTTCAGGGGATGAGGACACCGAAAACGGCAAAACGGTTGGCTTCCTTTGGGGAAAAAAGGGGTTGGTGTCCTTTGAGATCGTTCTGGGTTCATTTCTCGGGACTCGAGATCCAGCAAAGGTGTCCCTGTGGGCGCCGAGAGCCTCGTGGTTCCATGGTCCGTTTGCCTAAAATCGTGGCTTGCTCCGCAGGGATTTGAAGGGAATTCACCTTGCAAAGCGCCGCAACCAGGAGAGCACAGCGGGAAATAACTGGAACCTCCATGCAAGTAAGCTTCATTATGGGTGAGCATGCTACTTTGCCTGAAAGGATTAATCCGCCACACCTTCTGTTGGAAGGTGTGCCTGTCCCACCTGCGTTGGGCGGAAGGAGGGTGGGGGATCAATCGATGCACTTGCACACCAGCGGCTTGCTTCCAGCTGGCAACCGCCGAGCCCATGCCGCAAACGGCTTGAACTACTCTCGCGGTTTCTCAGCGGGCTTGCCAAAAAACCATCCAACAAATTTGATTGCCACGAACTGGTTTTTCCTCCAGGGAGAAATGAAGCCATTGTTTGGGCAATCTCCTTCAGAGTTTGGCGGACCAGGGTCAGCCCGCCTGATCCTCCTCATTGCCGTCGCCGTCGTCAAGCCCGACATTCGCAAATCCTTCTTCCAACCTCTGCGCTCTTTGCTCCTCCTGTTCAATGTGGCGGCGCCTGGTGCGAGAGCGCGAGAGCTCGAGTTTCATGGGAATCTCAAGCCATGAGCCATGCCCACGTATGGGGAAAATGGCCCTAAGGCGTCCCCATTCTCTCACCAAGTGTCCAGGTGTCCAATGACCCGATGAACAGGTGTCCAATGACCCGATGAAAAAAGAGGAAGCCTGGTTGTTGACCAGTTCTATCAATTTCAAGTGGAAACCCGCCAAACAACAAATGTGGAAGAAGGGGTATCTCTGCTCAGCTGGGAATGATAAGTATTGGCCGTTGCTCCGGGCAACTCACTCAGGGCATGAGCCCTCTCAACGTTATGAACGCATGTTGACTGACTGGGGCCTTACTGCATCCCGAATCCATGTTGCCCTAAAGGGTTGCCTATTCTCAGTGGAGAAGCCACTAAACACAAAGGGTCAAAGAGTGCCATTGAACAACTGAGCATTTCAGACGCCGACCAATGACAAGCCTTGACAACTGGCGCAAACGTCCTCCGACATTTAGCCAAGCGACAAGGCCGCAATCTCTTCTTGCAGCGCCTGGATATCGTGGCACGGCAGTTTCCACCTTGGCCAGGCTACATTCCCCAACAACTTCTTGCGCTGGAAACAAAGGAAACCTGAACGTGGTTGCGCAAAATGGCCCTTTCTGTGATACCAAAATCCGGCCATGACTACTCTATCACTTTACTGGCCCCCTTTGCATCACAGAAAGCGGCGAAAAACACAACTTCCATGGAAATAAAGGAATCCCAACCTTCCATTTGCTTAAGACCCCTGGGGAAAAATAAAATCCTTTTAAAACCAATAAGGGAAAATCACAACTATTCTTAAGCAAATGGAAGCAACATGGAACGCGTTACTTACCGGATTCAAGCCGCAGCTTCAGATCTGGCGTCCTGGGCTCGTCACGAACCACCGAATCTTCGGATGTCTCCCATGGCAGGCTGTGAAGCCGTAGAGCGGCTTGAAGCTGCGCCGCGCCAGATTGCCTCTGCATGCCGCTCGCAAAAGGGCCAAAGAGACTGATGCTGTCGACCCGCGAGAAGGGAACTTTTGGCCGGTTGAACGGGATCCTTTCTGCCAGGGCATGCGCTAGCTACTTGGCAGCGTCCAGCAGCACTGAGGTTTCAGCAGCGACAGGGAAATCGCGGGACTATGAGGGGATCTTCAAAATTGCTTACCCCCTTGCAGAACCCACGGTTGGGCTGCCCAAAACAACCGATCCTAGAAATGGCGGGCTTGTACGTTCCGGGTCCCCCTCCCACGCCATGCGAAACACGGCTACGCCTCAAGTAGAGGGATATGACACTGCGCAAGCGCGTCTCTTCATCCGCCAGCTCCTGCAGGTGGCACGCTTGCCCGAATTCAGCCATCCTGTTGGCCAAGAACGGCTTGATATTGATTGTTGCAGGTTTGTCAACGTCAAACCACTGTAAAACGGGGTCAACACATGCCAAAACTGGAAAACCGCCACTAAATCAATGCTCGGCCGGCTAAGCTCCAACTTTTGAGGCTTGACTAAAAGGATCAACCTGCCCTGACGGCTTTCACATTTCACGCGCACATTATCTTATCATTTTGATCGAATTTTGGAAAGTACCCTAAGTTCACTCTATTTCGTTCGGCCTATCAAGCCTGGTTTCACTAAGAAGGCAAACGCGATTAGATCATTTTTTGTGGGCTACGCCCTGTTTCTGTGAGCCGCAAAGATCGTGACAAGGCTGGCACGGGGCCAAATTTATCCAGGTGCGCTTTGGGAGTTCGGCCAAGTTACATAAAGGTTGGTAACTTTCCAGGTCACCCAAGAGGCCAACTTGCCAATTCTGGATCCATAATCGCTGGATCCATGCGTCCTGCACCTCCGGCGGCATGGCTTCCCTCTTCTCCAAGCTCCGCCGCGCTGCGTCGCACTGCCTCACAGGAACGAACGGGGACCGGGAAATGAACAGGGGCCCGCCTTGTCACTTGTCCAAAAGGGCCTGAACAAAAACTCAACCAGCGCCGGCCCAAACGCGCATGGCCCATATCAGCTTGTTTCAATTGGATCACAGGTTGCCAACAGACGGAGGGCGTGTCTGGGCAGCCAAGCCAAGCTGCCAAGTCAAGGACACGGCGTTACCTTGCAAGCAAAGAATGAGGAAGAGCCAGTTGGGCAACCAACCCATCGTCGTCAAGTCTTGTCGCAGCTTCGTCTTGCATGCGGAATGCAAAACGACGCAAGCAAGTGTTCTGAAACACGCAAAGTGCACGTGCTAGTTTTAAGCCTCCAAGTCACCATCCCATAAGCAGGGGCACAAGCAGCGAGACAAGTGAAGCAGGGAGACGGGACAGTAGGGAAACAAGTGGGGAGACAAGTGGGGAAACAAGCCGTGACAAGGTCCAAGCCAGCAAGCGCAAGCAAGGAGACAAGTGGGGGGCCAATCGGGAGTCAAGGCGCGACAAGGTCCGAGTGAGCAAGCACAAGCAGGGAAAAAAATGGGAGACAAATGGGGGGGACAAGTGGGTAGGGAGACAAGCAACAACAAGGCCCAAGTCAGGAGACGTCAAGTCATCTTCAGCGTCAGCCGCATGATTCGCACTGCGGGTGTCCCCTGACCTAAAGGAGGGGACCGCAGAGGGTGCGCCCCAATTCAATGTCCTCTTTTCCTTGAGGGAAAATGGCACCAAACCAAGGTGGGCAACTCACCTCCCGATTGAATTGGCCAATGTCCTGACGTTTTCTTTCGCCACTCAATTCGTCCCCAAAAATGCGCGTCCAGGAACTCAGAATGTGGGGCGCTGCCAGGGCCAGAGCCACATTCTTTTTCACTAAGCTTGGTGAAGCTGGTGATGCTGATTCTGGTGGCTCTGCGCAACCAGTGACTTTGTTTGTCTGGCGTGGTTTCGCAAAGGGTGATGTAGAAGGACGTGATTTCTCTGTCTCGTTTGGAGCGGTTTTCGAGTGGGAAAAAACACTAGGCTTGTTAAACACAGCTTTTGTCTTTTGGTGCTGCAGTGACTGTTCCGTCTCGTTTGGGGTGGTTTTCGGGTGAAAAAAAGGCCACTAGGCGGTCAAGCGCAGCTTTTGTTTTGGTTTTTGGCTTTTACTGCAGTGACTTTTCTGTCTCGTTTGGAGTGGCTTTCCACTAGAAAAAAAGTAACTAGGCTTGTTAAACGCAGCCTTTGCTTGTTTTTGGGTCTTGGCAATTGCTGCAGAGGCAGGTTGTTTGCAAGAAACAGGGGGTTTGTTTGGGAAGTCGCGCTTGGGAAGTCCGGGCAGGCAGGTCACTCCGGGCCTTCCTTGACAACCATGAACCGCGGATGAATGTCAACCTCTATTAGGCAAGTCCGACACGACCGCCCCCCCCCAAGACTGGAATACATGAACATAAGCGTTTGTCCCGACAGAACACCGGCATGCAGCAGTGCCAGGCCGGCACAAACATCACTTCCTTTTGAGATGTTGATTTGAGTCTCCATTTGATTTAGCATCGTGGGATTCGGCTTTCCATGTGATCTAGTATTGCTGGAGCTTTCTTTGAAGTGCCTTGCATTTGTTTTATTTAGCATTGTTGGATTTGAATGTTCGTTTGATTTAGTATTGCTGGAGCTCAAAAGTGGGTGCGGCTGGTCCCACATTAATAGTGTGGGCTGGGAACCCATGTGGGGTACATCATGCGACCTTCTCAAACCATCACTTGTTGAAAGGGAATCCCAAAACCCAGCCGTGCTTTCAAGAAAACCGGACTTTTTTTTGGATTTCAGGGAAGCTCCGGCAATTCTACATCAACTGGCAACATTGACTGAAGCTCCTTTTGGAATCCTCCTGGAGTTCTGGAATCCTCTTGCCCAATGCGACAGTAGACCCAAAAAAAAATCCACTTGGCACAAGTTGGTGGGGCTTCATCGCAACAAAATCATATCCCCCAAAAGAAACACATTTCTCTAAGAATCTCGGGCTTCGATGTCCATCTGCCAGGGGGAGTGAACGGAAAACACGACCAATGCAATGGATCAACCCTCCGAAGCGCCCAATGGACCAAGACCAACCCCCACCCCAACTCAACCCACCCCAACCCAACCTTACAACCACCCCAAATCCACCCAACCCAACCCACCCCTCCCCCAACCCAACCTTTCAACCAGCCCACCCCCACCCCCACCCCACCCCAACCTTTCACCCCCAAACCCCCAGCCAACCCAACCCCCCAACCCCGCCGGCAAAAGGCCGAGGGGCCCCAAGAGGCCCAGGGCCGGCCTTGCCTTCCGTCGGCTCGCCCAGGCCTCCAAGGAGTCCGTCCTCGGAGAAAACTCGGCGGCGAAATCTGCTCCCCTGCGAAAAGTTTTTAACTTTTGGTGGTGTTTCCATGGAGAACCCCATGAGTTGGCAAAAAGTTCTCAAGTCCTAACATCCCTTGGCAACATGCACCAAACAGAAGAGGGCAGCGGGGGGTGTACTTGTTCGGCCAGGCGAGCTTTTGTTTGTCTGTTTGCTCCTTGAAGTTTGGGGAGAGGAAATCCTCGATTCGGATTGTTTTACCTCAGGTGGCCTTCCCCCGCCTCCCCGGAATTAAGGCCTTAACTTGCAGCGGCACGTTGGTGTCTTATTGGGGAAGCCAGGGGGCAAGGGGGGGCAAGGGGGCATACTTGAGGGGGGGGGTTCTTGGAGGCTCGGTCATCTTTTGATGGTGAATGATGGAAAGTTGTCGCTTTCAACTAGGATGAAAAGACAACTGGCGGCTCTTGCGGGGTCCGCCATAATTTGTGATTCTCATGTGTCTCGCTTGGTTCAGAGATGACAATCATCTAGGGCCAGCTGTTTTGCTGGGTTTTGATGGTTTCCTGAAAAGAAGGATCCCTGGAAAGAATGGGGTAGGTATCCTAGAAAACAGATTGACACCGACATCACTTTTCATAATGAGCCGCTTCAAAAACCAATCGCTACAGTGGCAACACCAAGGACTACACCGAAAGCACAGGCAACAGCACCTGGAGATGGGTGATAATGCCCCCATCAAAAGCTTAAAGTCCAAAGGTTGATTTTAGGAAGGTGAGGCGTTGCCAAGGCAAGATCAGACTAGGCCCACAATGGAAGGACGGTCGTGCCTCACGGAGGGACCCTTGGGTGTGTGAGCTTTGTCAAAGGAAGCTTAGAAGGGATAGATTGCTAGACAGACAAACAAACAGACAGACAGAGAGATTACAAATTTAGTTCGGTGATTGATTGATTGATTGATTGATTGATTGATTGATTGATTGATTGATTGGTTGATTGATTGATTGACTGACTGACTGACTGACTGACTGATTGATTGATTGATTGATTGATTGGTTGATTCATACATATATAGACAGATGAATAGACCGATAACAAATTGGGGGATGGAAAGCTAGAGAGATAGATGGAGCAATCGGTTGCTAGCTAGAAAGGGAACTAGGTAGGCGCAGATAGAAAGATGGATCGCTAGATAGGTCGATAGACGGATGGATACACAAAACACACAACGATACATAGATAGATGGATACGCGGATCTCGATAGACAGACAGATAGATCAATTGGATTAGACTAGATTAGATTCGATTCGATTAGATTAGATAGATTGATCAATTGATAAATGGATAGATGGACATATGGATAGATGCAAATATGGATGAATGGATAGGTGGAAAGATAGATAGACTGGCACACAAATAAGGTGGATAGAAAAGACACATAAAGAGACAGTTCAGGATAAAGACGACTACAAAGATAACGAGAAGCAGGAAGAGAAAGGTGAGGATACCAAAGAGAATCCTTAAAAAACAGAGAAACATAAGATGAGAACGAGGCAGAGACGTAGGAAGACAAAGAGAACGCACACAAGTGTAAGAGAGAAAATACAGAGAACAACATCTACAGCGATTGCATCTTTGAAAGTTCCACCAATCGGCTTTCCCGGCTCTTATGGTATGGTGGCAACGAGTAACTACCTGCAAATCAACTTCAAACAAACAAGACACTTGGCTAGGTCCTCCAGATTTGAGAGGTTAGAATAAGGGTACCAACTTTTTTCTGTAGTCTATTTTAGTAGGGGAACCCTGCTCCAAAAAAGAGTCAAAGGGCACTAGTTGGCATATAGAAGAACACTTGGCATATGGAAGAACTGCCGGCAAGATCACGCCAAACACCAGTAAGGGGCTTGGCAAACAAGAAGGAATTCCCAGAACGACTACACCAAACACCAGTAAGCCATAAAACATGTCCACCAATCTGCAAAGCCGATAGGACATGGACCCGAAGCCAATACCCTGGCAGCATGCCCGTTGCTCATCTGTTTGGGAAACCGTCCGCCTGAGGGGCCCAGCATGGATTCCCAAAGGTTCGCACCCATGCAGAGAGGTAGATGTCCCGGTAGTTTGAACTTCAAACTTCAGACACATTGAGCCGACTGAAAGGCACCACAAAACTCATGGGAGGCTTCAGACGCAGAATTGGGTCACCTAAAAGTTCAACACTAGGCCTTCCAGTAGAGAGGTTAGAGTAAGGCTACCTATTTTTTCTGTAGTCTGTTTTAGCAGGGGAACCCTCCCAAAAACAGTGGGGAGAGAAGGGCACTACTGGGGGACCTAGAACATAACGTACCTGCGAGGGAGAGGAGGCGACTGTCCAACAGCTTGCAAAGCCGGGCATCAGCAAGCGGAGCTTGGTGAGTCCTTTGGTCACCACCACCTGGCGGAGTCTTGCTGGGAGTTGGATAAAACCAACTACCACGCCCAAACACAACTGGGCTGTCCGTTTTCGGATCCCCCGCTAAAAGTTCTTAACTTTTGGAGGGTGAAATACGGAAATCCAACCACTAAACACTAAAAGGATAGAAAGCTAAGGAACCGGATGGCCGGGAACCACCAAGACAACTTTGGTCTAGGTTAGTCTTTCTACGGGTTGCCCAGTTTTGGTAGAACACCTGCCCGCAAATCCAGGCAGGGAAGCCAAACAAGGTTCCCGGTTTCTTTCGGGGTGACATGTTTATCTGCAAAAGTTATAACTGGAAGCCGGAATGACTTTCAGGTCAAGCATGTTTCCCACTTCTAAGGCAAGGTCTTACAGGTTCAAATCCGGCGACAGCGAATCGCCCCCTGAAAATGTTCACCTTCCCAAAACTGACAAGTCCTAAGCCTCTCCTTGGGGAGGTGAGTCTCACATCTCTGCGCTTCGTCTTTTGTTTGTCCTCCATTTTTGCTTCAGTCCCCTGGAAAAAAGGACAAAAACACAATTCCAGTAGTCATAGATTCCCTTTCAAAACCACCAGGGGAAACTAAAAGAAAAACAAATATTCACAACCAACTGGAAGTCGCTGCCCGGCCTGCGAAGCTCTCAGCTCGCAGTGCTCCTTCCTCAAAGCGGCGATGGCCGCGGTGAGGTGCTCGCAGGTCACAGGGACCGTCTGCTGGAAGACCATGGCCAGAGCGGCCTCTTTGGGCTCCTGGCGCTTCTTCCATCGATAGCTGTGAAGGAACTGCTCCCAAAAAAGAAAAAAACAAAGAAACAAAACGAGAAAAAAAAAACAAGAAGAAAAAAAACGGGAAAAAAAGAGAAGCCTCGGGGAAGCTTCGGGAAAAAGGGGGGGGAAGGGGGGGGGAAGGGAGGGGGGAAGGGAGGGGGGAAGGGGGGCTGTGTTCCTTGCGCGGGTCCTTTCCGGTCAAGCTTCCATCTACGAACCCAAGTATATACTTGGATAGGGAAATGAGGGAACCCTGACATCCCTCGTGACAATTCTTTGGGATTCCCTTCCGGCTTCCCCTCCGGGTTCCCCGAAACTTCGGCTGATTCTACCTCACTTCCCAAGTGGATGGCCCCAAAAAAGTCCAAACATTCTATATATTATCCACTAAAATGTGCCAAACTCAAAAAGTGACTAAAGTCCAGGGGATGGTGATTCACCAACGGATCCTCACACCCGAGCATGGGTCACATTGCCGACGTAGAATGAGTAAGGAAAGATCAGGAACTCGGGTGGATTCTTTACTAAACCATGAACAAATCACCTTCATCAAGGGACACTCACCTTTCATGACCCAAGAAGGTGGTGATGATTAAAACCACACAAAACCAGGGCCTCAAAAACCGATAAAAAATCACAATGTTTTAGTCCGGGTACGACATTTTTCAGGTTCTCGAAGCCCTAGGAAAAAAACATATCGTCGACCCCTGTGCTGAACCACGCGTCGCCCAGGCTCCTGGCTGGCCTCATGCTGCAGCTTCGCCTCTTGGAGCGCTTCAGCACTCTCGGCGACCTGTCGCCCAGCTGGCGATCCAAAAAATCTGCCCACGTGAAGCGCACTTTCAAAAAAAACACCATGGCAAGCGGTTATTCTTTTTGACTTCCCTCAAAAAAACAAAAAAAGTAAGAAGAAAAAAGGAGAAAGGCATGGTGAGCTGTTTTTTGTGCTTTTTCTCCAGACTTCTCTCAAAAACTGACAGACACACACACACACACACACCACCAAGGGAGCCTTGGCCAAGTTCCTCCACCCCACGCTCGCGTCGAGCTCTGGCCTTCGCCTTGCACGTCTCCAGCTCCGCGGTCTGCGCGGCGTGGGCGTGCCGCGCCTCCTCCACGAAGCTCCGCAGCAGCTCCTCCGCGGCCGCCCACACCTCGGCTCGGGGGCGCCACGCCCCTCTCGTGGGTAGCCGAATCGGAGGCAGACCCCGAGAAAAAAGGGAGAACATATGTCCCACGTTGTGATAGATTCCCTTACAAACCAACAGGGAAAATATATGGAGCAACTGGAAGTCGTTTGGTGGTTTTTGCAGCCCGGTCAGCGGGTTGGTGGTGGTGATGCATGGGGTGGGTTCCCGCTTTTGCCCTCAGCCTTGGGGTCAAATCCTTCGAACCAATCCAAGCAATTCGGGGTTGCTTGACACGGGGTGTCCTTCAAACCAACACATGGGGCTGGCAGTGTGAAACCAAACGAAGAAGGCCAGCTCGGTGGCCTGTTGTGGTCTCAAAAGTCTAGGCCACAGGTTCTCAAAATGGCGGGCCCCCTTTAGAATTTCACAATTTTGCCAATTACTCGGTGGCCTTTTGGAATAGGTGGCACTGGCACATGAAACTCGAACCAAGCAAACTCACCCTTTAGCTCACCCACAGCCCAGGGCAGGCTAGTTGTTGAAGGCCTAAACTTATCCGTGGCTTGCAGCAAGAGCCATCAAACACAAGCCCAAAAGGAAGCCTGGCAGGCATACTGTGCTCGGCCCTGCGGATGGACAAAAAAAACAAACAAAACCACTTGGTTTGCAAGGGGGGGCCTCCCAAAAAGCTGGAATTTGGGTGACCTTTCAGTGAACCAAGCATGCTACTTAGCTTCCTTGAGACAGCGGGAGTATCCCTGTCAGCCATAACCAGAACCCGGTTCAAGAAGTCTGCTCAACCTCCCTTGACGCTTATAAGATTCTGGGACCCCCCCTTTGATTTCCAAGCAACAAAAACAAGCACAGCATGTCGGCTTTGTTTTGGGTTTTTGCAACCCTGGCCATCAGCACCTCCGTGCCTAAAGAAGCCTATTTTGAAGGAGTCTGTGCAATGGCCATGGGAAAATAGGGCATCCTTCTTTTGGTTGGTTGACAATCGGAGCCCTTCCCAAACAAAGGGCGTGACTGCCACTGGGCAACAGCCGGGTAGGGGCTCCCAAGTGCCACTGGGCCGCTTCCTTCCGCGCCGGCGCGGCCAAGCGCTGGCCTTCGGAGTCGAACCTCACCTCGGGCTCCGCCGCCCGCAGTCGGGCGGCCGCTGCCTGGAGGCTGGTCACCATCTCGGCCTGCAAGCCCTTCTCGGCCTCTCCTAAGGCGGCCGGCGTTTGAGAAGCCCAATAGCTGGGAGGGTTTATAACACCTCCACCCCCCACCTCATTTAGGAGGGTTCATAACGCCCCCCCCCACCCCACCCCCCGCCACAACCCAGTAACCCGGTTTACAGCCTCTTACCTAGCGCCCAGCCACCTCCCACAACCCATGAAGGTTTACATCAACCCCTTACTCACCCGAGTCCCCCCCCCCCACCCCACACTTCTAGACTTGCACATCTCCCCCCCCAGCCACCTCTTTCAACCCGGCCTTCCAACCGTTGCACCTCCAACACGTTTACAACCCCCACCCTTTTTTCCCCAAGCCCCCACTCCCCCAGCACACCCCCCAAACACCTCCCCCAACCCGGCCTTTCAGCTGTTGCACCTTGAGACTCGCCCTGAGCCGCGCGATGGCGCCCATCGCTGCGCGCTCGCCCTCGGCCTCCGCCCCGCGCAGCCGCCACGCGGCCTCCGCGCTGGGCGTCAGCTGCGCCAGACGATCTTTGAGCACCGCCTCCTGGCTTTTGGTAAAAATAGGGGCCAAGAGGATGTGACCCCCAAAATGGGTTTTCTTGCTGGCGCGATAGGTAGGGAGTAAGGGAATGTACACGGGGATTCCCTTGCAAATTGCAGGAAGCAAGGATAGTTTAGCGGGGTCATTTCCCCATTCCCTACTGAGCACCGGCAAATTTTGGTGGTCCTGAGGGTCCTGTAAGGTTTCCATTTCCTTTTGGTGAAAAGGGGGGCCAAGAAACAATGAAAAACCTTCCAACCAGGAACCCAGAACAAATTTTCTTGCTGGTGCGATAGGTAGGGGGTGAGGGAATAAACCCGGGGATTCCCTTACAGGAACAGGGATAGTTTATAAGGGTCATTCCCTCTTTTTTGATATTGAGCATCAGCAAGTTTTGGTGGTCCTATAAGGTTTCCCTTTCCTTTTCGTGAAAGGGGGGCCAAGAAACAAAGACTAAAACACCCTCCGGAGACCAGGCATACATATGGGCAAGTAGGTCTTTTTGTGCAACCTTTTTCCACCATCGCGGGCCAGGGGATGCGTTGCAGCTGCTGCGGCTGGCGTGATGCCCTTCAAGGTTTCCAAAAAACAAGGGGAGGCCAGCAAAAACAGTGATTATATGTCCAACTGTCCAAGGGGAGCCTACCAAGAAACGCCTCAAAAGGGATCCGGATCGGGATGAGAAAGGGGATCCCCGCCTCAGCCCGCGCGGCTTCGAGCAGCGTCTGGAGAGCGGGAGGTAGAGCCTCGATCATCTCTTCATCGGCCTGCGACGATCTAGCTCGACAGCAAGGCTCACCCCTCCAACCCCCGAACTCTCCAAAGAACTCTCCAGCCTTGGAGCCGAAAGAGGCTTCGATGCATTTGAGGCTCCGGAGCTCGGAGCTCCGATTCCGGAACGGGTCCCGGATATATTACCTATTTATAAGCTTACTTCCTTACAAACTTGGAGTGGGGTTGGGCTCTGTCCCTCCCCGCTCAACACGGTTTTAAACCTCGTTTGTGGGGTGTCTGGCTCCTTGGCCCTGCCATTTGCGCATAAAACCATCCCAACCTGTTGATAAACCATGACAGTAGAAAGTTGAGGGGCGCGTACGTGGTTTGGGTTTGAATGAGCCGAAGGATGAATTCGCACCTGAAAGGGTGCTGGCACAGTAACAAACGCATGGAATAACAAGAGCCTACAAAAGCGCACGCCGAAGCGATTTTCTAGAAACACATGCACGGAAAGCAAGCTTACAAAGTGAGGAGAAACGTGACGGGCCGCCTGAAACCAGTGAAAGAGCATAACCATACCAAGCATTGCGGGGTGTCAAATAAGAGGTCCAGAAAAACATAAATGGTTCGCACTGCGCACGCGCCGGTTGCAGCACGACCAAGCGAAGATTGCACGACCATTAGGTAAAACCAACTCCAAGTGAACACTTGTAAATTAATGCCGGCTTCGGCGTACTTCGGAGCACCTCACTAATGAGACAAATTTTACTAAAATGAATTGAATCAGGAGCGTGGGTGGGTGGGTGGGCGGGCGGGCGGGCGGGTGAGTGGGTGTGTGTGCTTGTGAGTCTTTTTCGGGGCACCCTCAAGAACACACACCCAAATCCGCCGACCCTCTGCCTCGCGTCCCTGCAGAGGGGACCGGCGTGGGATGCAACTGGAAGTGATTGGAACCAATGATGGTCCCGCAACACGCCCGAAACCACAAAAAGTGGATTTCCAGGACCGGTGCCGGGTCCTGGGACCGTCCTGGGACTGGTCCTGGCTTTGTTGCTTCAGATTACTTGTAGTCAGCCGAAACCGGTCCGTCCTGCAACTGGTCCCACCGGTCCTCGGACCGGTTTCAGGACCGGTCCTGGCACCAGTCCTGGGACCGGTCCTGGGATTGGCCAGCACCGCTTTGCCGGTCCCGGGATCGAGTCCCTGGCATGATCGCTGGTATCGGATCCCAGTTGCAGACACCTGGTGCCACCTCAAACCGCTCCAGACACCTGTTTCCTCAAACGGTTGAGGGGCACCAACGGCCTTGTTTCTGGGACCAGCTCGACGTGACTTGGGCGCAAACTGGCCCGTGCGGTCATTGACGGACGAGCTGCCATCTGTCTGACTTTTCCGTTAATCCTTGTGGTAGTAGAGGATCCCTGGATCTATTCTGCAGGAGAGTCCAATACGTCGAGTCAAACCGCGCCAGACTGGGACCAGCCTGGACAGGGTCCCAAGTCCCGGTCCCTGCCGGCGACCGGTCCAGGGCAACTGTCCCCGGGCAGCTTCGGGAGGGCCAGTTTCAGGGCGACCCCGGGAGAGGCGACTGCTCCCGGGCCAACTTTGAAGTGACTTGGGCGCAAGCCGACCCAAGCGGTAATTAACGGACTAGCTGCCATATTTCTGACTTTTCCGTTAATCCTTGTTTGTGGTCGTAGAGGATCTTATAAGTGGTCCCTGGGTTTGCGGACGTGTTTCAGGACCGGTCCTTATGACTTGTCCCTTCATGCGCCGAGGGTCGGCGGCAGCAGGCGGGAGCCTGGTTAATCCGGCTACGCCTCCTTGGGGTAGCATGTCGCCGCTAGGCAATTAGCCTGCTAGCTTTAGCTATAGGGGGTGCACCCTGGTGCTGCCGACCCTCGCCACTTGGTCGTGATGCGCTGCTTAAATCCGGCACCTCTGCATCACCAGCTCGGGCTTGCGGCTTTGCTTGCCTGTGGGAGACCCTCGCAAAACATCGCGTATATGCAGGGTTTAGGCCATGTGGCTGACATCATCAGGGTGTGGGGTTGGGCCTGGGCGATGCTTCAGTGCATCATCCAGACTTCCTTCCAAAAAGCCTCTCAACCCAAAAAGCTCTGTTTTTTAGAAGGTATCGGAGGGATATAAGCGAGGCTCATTTTCGCGCATTTTGGCGCCAAGCGCTGCCGGGCATGCCGGCGATGCTGGGTCCGCGCTCTACAAAACGCTGTAGAGCGCAAAAACTGCTGTGCTGAGCGGTGGGCTGTTGTTCTGTCCGTTTTGCTTTCGCTGTGGCTGGCTCGCGTGCTGCGCGGTCCTTGCTTTTTTCGCGTTGGTTTTCGGGCCTTTTGGCGCGCGCGCGCGCACGACCCCAGCCACAAAACGCTGCTATTTACGGTGTTTTGTTGCTTTTGCGTTTCCGGGCTGTTCTTTTTGGGCTGCTTTTTCTGCGGCCGCTGGCGCACGCGCGACCCCATGTGAGCCTTCTGGCTTGGGTCCTGGCTAGGGCCAGAAAGCTGGCATCCCCGGCATCATCTGGGGTTGGGGTGGGCAACAGGCATAACCTAACCAGCCATATCATAGCACAGGATACGTTTCTCATACGAAAAACATGACATGACATGGTATAACTTCAAAGAGGCGTAGCCGGCTAGAGGCCGCAGGCCCAGAAAATAAAGATCCTGTTGTGCCCCCGAAATGTATCGCGTGCCATGGAAAAGCCGACTTTTCTTGAGCCCGGGTAACTGGCCAATTTACACAACTCCCAGACCGGAATCAACTGTGGATGGACGAAATCCTGCGCCACTTAAGGATGGTTTCCCTGTAAATGCCAACAAACAACGGTTTGCCATGGTTTCCAAGTGGTGCAGGATTTCGTCCATCCACAGAAGGAAGCCCCAAGCAAGTGAGGAAGTCTTACTTTGGTTGAGACGCATTGCAAGCAGCTCCTTGGAAGGCCCTAACAGCAGCAGACAAGCAACGACTAAAGCTTCTACCAAGAAGCGTGGGCTGCGCTGGGCGGGTAAGAGAATGGGACACTTGCAGAACTGGGTGGTAAGGAAGGGGGCCGGAAGCTCTGTTGAAAGACCTTTGCCTTGTCCTAGGCATTGATTTGGCTGAACATGCATGGCATTGGCAAATGACAAGGATAAACTGAAACCAATGGCATCTATGCTCACTCAAAACAGACCTAACAGGGACACCCAGGCTACTTATGGCTTTTTGGAGAAGACACCACCTGATCCGACCCCCTGAAAACCACTCGACGCTCTTGATTGAACACAAGAATTGCAATGAGTACAAACACCTACAGCATATGTCAAGAGTACAAACACCTACAGCATGTTTCAAGAAGGTACGTCTTGCCAACCACCTCACGTCTCCGCAGCTTCCGACCTCCGGCCTTCTCGCTTTGCGGCTCCTCCGTGGCCATCGGCTCGCTCTGCGCGGCCGCCGCTTCGGTCGGGACTGCCTCGGCCGGGACTTCCGCCGCTATCGGCGCCGCAGCCTCAGCCAAAGGCGGGCAAGGACTACACACCTGATCCTCCCATCACGGGGCAATTTGGCTAGGTCCTCCAGTAGAGAGCTTGGGAGAAGGGTACCCTTTTTCTGTCATCTAATTTTGTGGGGGGACCCTCCCCCAGAAAAAGAATACAAGGGCCCTATGGGACCGAATTAGTTGGCGTTCCATTACAAATTTCCCAGGCCCGAGTATGAAGCCCAATTGGAAATGGAGCCTTTGGTGGAACTGCACAAAATGGATGTTGCCCCATTGGGTGCTTTACTGTTTTGCGGGTGCTTGACCGACATCCCGACATGGGATTTGTGTCCACCACCGAGCTAGCCAGTCGCTATGGGCTGACCCGCTTGGGAACCTGCCAAACTGGCTCAGTGGCTCCTTGAAAGCCAGTCAACTAACTAAACATTTTGACACTGGACCAGTGACACTTCTGATGAATTGTTCCCTTCAACGCATGAGCAGTTCCGAAAACCATTGATGTCTGGTTCTTTCGTGGGCCTTACTCTAACCCCATGAATCCAGGTAGTAGAACCTTCAAATGAGCCAAAGCTTGCCCCTTACCCAAACCCGCCTCGGCATTCACTGGGGTCGCCTCTTTCACTGGAGAAGCTTCAGAGGATGGCTCCGCAACGTCCGGCTGCTTTGCAGCGGGCGCCGTCTGCGATGTCGGCATGCTGACGGCTGTGGAGGTATTGTCCGACTTCCCCTGGGCAGTCTGACTCATACAACCGCAAGCAACCCTAGGGACCCTAGAAGTCCTTCCGTGTCTCCTTCAAACATCACCCTGCCAAAAAACAACTAATGCTAAAATTGCCAAACAAGCGATGATGTTTGTACAATTAAGAACCCGGGCCTCGCCTCTGACCACGACAGTCTTGGAAATTCGACGGAAATCAAAGCTGGCAGACACGCAAAAGCCAATCAATTGCTGCTTACAGTTGGACATGTGTGTTTGTCACGGCGACGATTCTGCATTCCATGTCTCAGGGTCATTTAAGGTTTCGAGAAGAGCTGACATTCAAGCACAAAATCCGTGTCACAGCCATGTCCCAAAACTTGCACGCCTCACTTGCTGTGGTTTGCGGGGACGGCTCCGCAACTTCCGGCTGCTTCGCCACAATCGCCGCCGACTTCGCCGGCTGCGTGCTGGATCCAGGCGAGGCATCGCCTATGTCCAACTTCTCCTGGCGTGGCAACCAACGGGCCCAGCCACAACACCTGGTTAAAGAGAAAATAGGAAAGGTTTAAGGTCACTCAGTACTTGAGTGCCTTTGGGCTACTTGAGGTCGCAACACCTTCTTCAAGTCCGCGTCCGCGTTGCCTTCAAAACCCAGCCCATTGGGAGGGGGATGATGAAGCTACATCTGAGTGCTGGCGAATGTGGAGCCTGGGCCACCTCGGAGGCTGTCGGCGCAACAGCCAAATTATGCCCTCCCATACTCTCATGGGCGTGGACGCTAGACCAGGTTCCTTTGGACTTCCAGGTTTGCGGGCGGGCTTGTGCCCAGGGTGTTTTCGGCACAAGCAATTTGGAAACGTGCCGCATGCCGCATGCGATGTGGGGTACAGCATGCATCCAGGCATGGGTGGAAGGCGAAATTTCTTCACACAAAGCAACCAAGTCACAATTAAACGGGCTCCCTGAACCCTCGAAATACACACACACACACAAAAACAACAACAACATCAGTCCAAGCACTACCCATGTTTTGAGGCTAGGTGGGGCAAAAATACCAATCATCGAAACACACACACACACACACACGTGCCATAATTTTCGACTTGGCCACGTCCAAGAGGATGCGCAAGAGCCTGAAATTGTCAGCCAGCTGGCACTGCCAACATAAAACTCCCGGACGCATCTCCTTTTGCGGGACCCCTTCTTGGAGTTCCATGTTGCTGTGGTACCCTTTCCCGGTTGGTTGCACATGAAACCAAAAGGACCACCACAACTTTTGTGCATAGGTGTCCTTTTTGGTTGTTTTGGTGGAAAAATAGATGGCCCTGCTTTACCTGGTGGTTTAATCATCTACCAGGGCCATCTATTTCCCCTAAAAGGACACCTATGCTTATATGTGTTTCCCCATTTTAGCACATACTCGTTTGCACGGAGGGTCTTACTTAGAGGGAAACTTCCCCTCGCCCGAGTTGGCGTTCGCCTTCTCATAGCTTTCGGTCCGCTTCAGCGTGTCCAGCCTCTGAGAGAGGACTTTGCCTGAGATCGGCGAAGAGGGTTTCACGTTTGGATGGGTGACCAAACCAACTTGAACTTAGTGGAAAAGGCTGATTCCTGGTTAAAAACTACGGTTTGGATGTGGCTGTTGCAGATCCAACCCGGTGGAATATTAAACGCTGCTGATAAATGACTACAATGAAGAAGGACACACAGGGGTGAAGAACATGTGAAATCCACAGAAAAAAAGAAACACAAAAAACATCCAACCCGTGGTCTAGGTATAAACGATACTTTTAATGGATTCACCTTGCCCCCAATCACCAACCAAGCGGAACCGGAAACATTGGAGTCCCCCCCCCAAAGAAAGCCGATCACCTTGGCTTTGGAGGTCAAAGCCAACCAAGGTGATCTCTTTCCGAGCGCCGGGCCCACGTGCTGCATGACATTCCGCAGGTCCGCCCTGGGGCTGGGCGCCTTGGATTGATGCACAGCCCCCCACAACGAGGGGTCAAGCTGGGTGAGGCAATAAGGCTTGCCTGTGATAAATAAGGCGAAGAACATATGAGGAGCGGACGAAACCCTTTACTTGGCCTTAGTACTTTTTTTAACGTCATCGTTTTTGGGGGAGACCTCATCGTTTTACAGTGTTTTCGAACTTTGGCAGATCCGGCTCCAAAATCGCAACTTTCTAGCACAAGTCTAGTACGCGAAGTACACTTCCGCAGCTCCAGCTCGAAATTCGCAACTTTGTAGTACAAGTCTAGTACGCGAAGTACACTTCCGCAGCTCCAGCCCGAAAATTGCGAAATACAATTCCGCAGCTCCAGCTCGAAAAGCGAAACTTGGCAGGCAGTACAAGTCTAATACGCGAAGTACACTTCCGCATCTCCAGCTCGAAAATCGCAACTGTGCAGTACAAGTCTAGTACGCGAAGTACACTTCCGCATCTCCAGCTCAAAAATCACAACTTCCTGAACCCTCCAAAAGTACTGAAATTTCCGTACATGCAGAAAAAAAGTGTCAATGTACACTTTTGAGGAAATTTGACGGAAATCGCTTTTAGCAGGCTGTGAGCGTTTGTGGTGCACTTGGATGCACATGAACCCAGTTTGCAATTTACACGGCCCGTCATACTTAATTCCGTTTCAGGTCTTTCGTCTCCAATTGCTGTGGGGCAATGTGTGACAGCTTCCTTGCCGCTTTTGCGAGTTTGCACTTTTCTCAGCCAAAATGCAGAAACCGCAAATGCACGGAAATCGGCGGGAAATGCACGGAAATCGGCGGGAAAAGTACGGAAATCTGCGGAAAATGCACGGAAATCAGCGGAACATTTTCTTGAGGAAATGGGCACCTTTTGTCCTTGGTGAATTGCACACCTTCAAATGGTATGAGCATGACAATCTCCAGTGCCATGGCCGGAGCTGAAAGTGAGATTCTTGTAGAAAAAAGGTAGCAAAATGCTCCTGTGTCTTATGTTGAGCCTGCAAGAAAAGTACAGTTTTTGCTCAAATGTATGGATTTCAAGGACATGCACGGATTTTTGCACAGAGTCGCAAAAAAAGTGCCCTTGGTTGGTCCAGGTTTGTCGCGCAAGTCTAGTACGCGAAGTACACTTCCGCAGCTCCAGCTCGAAAATCGCAACTTCGTAGTACAAGTCTAGTACGCGAAGTACACTTCCGCATCTCCAGCTCGAAAATCGCAACTTTGTAGTACAAGTCTAGTACGCGAAGTACACTTCCGCATCTCCAGCTCGAAAATCGCAACTTTGTAGTACAAGTCTAGTACGCGAAGTACACTTCCGCAGCTCCAGCTCGAAAATCGCAACTTTGTAGTACAAGTCTAGTACGCGAAGTACACTTCCGCATCTCCAGCTCGATCATCGCAACTTTGTAGTACAGCTCGAAGTCATCAGCAACTTTGTAGTACAAGTCTAGTACGCGAAGTACACTTCCGCAGCTCCAGCTCGAAAATCGCAACTTTGTAGTACAAGTCTAGTACGCGAAGTACACTTCCGCATCTCCAGCTCGAAATCGCAACTTTGTAGTACAAGTCTAGTACGCGAAGTACACTTCCGCATCTCCAGCTCGAAAATCGCAACTTTGTAGTACAAGTCTAGTACGCGAAGTACACTTCCGCAGCTCCAGCTCGAAAATCGCAACTTTGTAGTACAAGTCTAGTACGCGAAGTACACTTCCGCATCTCCAGCTCGAAAATCGCAACTTTGTAGTACAAGTCTAGTACGCGAAGTACACTTCCGCATCTCCAGCTCGAAAATCGCAACTTTGTAGTACAAGTCTAGTACGCGAAGTACACTTCCGCAGCTCCAGCTCGAAAATCGCAACTTTGTAGTACAAGTCTAGTACGCGAAGTACACTTCCGCATCTTCAGCTCGAAATCGCAACTTTGTAGTACAAGTCTAGTACGCGAAGTACACTTCCGCAGCTCCAGCTCGAAAATCGCAACTTTGTAGTACAAGTCTAGTACGCGAAGTACACTTCCGCATCTCCAGCTCGAAAGTCGCAACTTCCGCACAGCTCCAGCTCGAAAATCGCAACTTTGTAGTACAAGTCTAGTACGCGAAGTACACTTCCGCAGCTCCAGCTCGAAAATCGCAACTTTGTAGTACAAGTCTAGTACACGCGAAGTACACTTCCGCAGCTCCAGCTCGAAAATCGCAACTTTGTAGTACAAGTCTAGTACGCGAAGTACACTTCCGTCAGATCGAAAATCGTAAGTACAAGTCTTCGCGAAGTACACTTCCGCATCCAGCTCGAAAATCGCAACTTTGTAGTACAAGTCTAGTACGCGAAGTACACTTCCGCAGCTCCAGCTCGAAAATCGCAACTTTGTAGTACAAGTCTAGTACACGAAGTACACTTCCGCATCTTCAGCTCGTCGTAACTTTGTAGTACAAGTCTAGTACGCGAAGTACACTTCCGCAGCTCCAGCTCGAAAATCGCAACTTTGTAGTACAAGTCTAGTACGCGAAGTACACTTCCGCAGCTCCAGCTCGAAAATCGCAACTTTGTAGTACAAGTCTAGTACGGAAGTACACTTCCGCATCTCCAGCTCGAAAATCGCAACTTTGACAAGTCTAGTACGCGAAGTACACTTCCGCAGCTCCAGCTCGAAAATCGCAACTTTGTAGTACAAGTCTAGTACGCGAAGTACACTTCCGCATCTCCAGCTCGAAAATCGCAACTTTGTAGTACAAGTCTAGTACGCGAAGTACACTTCCGCAGCTCCAGCTCGAAAATCGCAACTTTGTAGTACAAGTCTAGTACGCGAAGTACACTTCCGCATCTCCAGCTCGAAATCGCAACTTTGTAGTACAAGTCTAGTACGCGAAGTACACTTCCGCATCTCCAGCTCGAAAATCGCAACTTTGTAGTACAAGTCTAGTACGCGAAGTACACTTCCGCATCTTCAGCTCGAAAATCGCAACTTTGTAGTACAAGTCTAGTACGCGAAGTACACTTCCGCATCTCCAGCTCGAAAATCGCAACTTTGTAGTACAAGTCTAGTACACGAAGTACACTTCCGCATCTCCAGCTCGAAAATCGTAACTTTGTAGTACAAGTCTAGTACGCGAAGTACACTTCCGCAGCTCCAGCTCGAAAGTCGCAACTTTGCAGTACAAGTCTAGTACGCGAAGTACACTTCCGCAGCTCCAGCTCGAAAATCGCAACTTTGTAGTACAAGTCTAGTAAGCGAAGTACACTTCCGCATCTCCAGCTCGAAAATCGCAACTTTGTAGTACAAGTCTAGTACGCGAAGTACACTTCCGCAGCTCCAGCTCGAAAATCGCAACTTTGTAGTACAAGTCTAGTACGCGAAGTACACTTCCGCAGCTCCAGCTCGAAATTCGCAACTTTGTAGTACAAGTCTAGTACGCGAAGAACACTTCCGCAGCTCCAGCTCGAAAATCGCAGCTTTGTAGTACAAGCCTAGGCTGTACGCGAAGTACACTTCCGCATCTCCAGCTCGAAAATCGCAACTTCTCAGTACAAGTGTCGTATTTACAGAGCCGTGTGTTCGTTAAGGGTCATCGTTTTTGGGGGAGACCTCATCGTTTTCCATGGTTTTGGGATGTGTTACTCAAAAGCGTGCCCCGTCTTGATAAAGTGGTCTACGCGTGTTTTGTCCGTGGCTCATATGGCCAATTCAGGTTTTTGCCCGTCCAAGCCCTGGTTTCAGCCGCCCCCCCCCCAATAAAAAGCGGCTCGGTCCTTCATCCTTTGAGATGGGTGAGGCCGAATAAGGCGGCTACAGTTGGGGGGTGGCAGAGGCTCCCAATTCCGATTGATGCGCCTTCAACGAACCTGAGATGCCCAACGACCGAAGCGGGGTGTCTAAGGGAGGGGTCGGGTCTTGCATTGAAAGCCCTAGGAGCCTTCGGGTGATAAATGAAGCGAACTAAATGAGGCCAAGCAAGGCTGGGGAGCCCCCGATTTTTTTGTTTCTTTGGCCGCGCCTCTGAAGTTTCACCCTGAAGCCTGCGCCGGATGAGGCCGAGAGTCAAGAACGGGGCGTTTGGAGCATCACTTGTCAGGGAAATCACCCCAGAATTGGCTGTGGGTCAAAAAAATGCACCAACATGGCACCTTGGCAAATGGAACCACAGGCTAAAACCTGCGTAACCCTAGCTGTTTGATTTTGAGCCACAACCAAATGGGTGGGGTTGCATTTGAATGGATTGCGGAATCCCCAGCGGACCAAGACCCCTATTGCCTAACCACCCCTGATTGGAATGGTTCGGCTCAATCCGAAGATTACAATACCGCCATGAACAACCTGAGTAGGCTACAAGGAGCGCGCAGATCTGGGAAACTCACCCATGGTACCTACATTCGAGATGTCCTATTTCCGGTGATTGAAAAGTATAATTTATGGTTTGGTCCTTAAGCAAACGACTCAAAACTGTCCAAACCACAGGGTGGTATCTGGAACTAGCTCCAAATTGGCTAAGCTTTAAGTGGATGTTGCCCTTGCGGGCCGGACCGCTGGCCACTGGATCGAAGCGCATCTTGCTTCTCCAAGCATCCCTAGAATCGGAACAAGCTCTACCAATGAGTATTGAGCTGCCCTCATCTGGCTCCTGTCCAATATGGTCAGTTTGCACTTCACAGTAGGAACACTGCCCCTCATTGAGCCAGCTGCTTTGACCATGCTGGCACGTAAGCTTCATGTTGGATGAAGGACCGAGCCTTCATAAATGGGGGTGTGCAAAGGGGCGGCAAATGATTCATGTCCTTCACGTTTCCCCATCTTCCTGGGCGAATTGCAAGCACTGCAAATCCCATATTGGATTCCCTCCGAAAAGGAGTCTTTTTCATAGGGGACTGCTTGGTGCACTTATTACTGGGAAAATCCACTTGGTATATGTTTCGCAAAAAGGGCAATCTGCATAACTGGGTTATCACTTCTTGGCTTCATCAACGTTTCACCGTTCACCCCAAACGTATAGCTAAGATTGAGAAACCTAAGTTGATTTGTGTTGAGGGCAACGCAGATGTTTCCACGCATTGCACCGTGGCAACTTGAAACCCAGCCCACCACCCAATTTTCCTGCCTGCTCTGCAGAACTTGGACTGAAGCCTGAACGCCTGGGCTCTGCGCATCTTCCCTCACCCAGGATCGATGCTTTTTATGGAGAGTGTGTTCCCCTGTATTGAAACGGCCCCCAGTTTAAAGCCACATGTTGTTCTTTGCTTCGGTGTCCCCCTCCCCGAAGAAAAATGACAACAACTTGCTTCCCGGGCTTGAAGGCTTCGAACCACTGGCTCTCGGCCCGGTCAATGAGAAAAACAGATGGACCCCGCTGAGGGCCCGTACTTTTCTCCCTGCTGCCCGGTCGCTTTAGAGCGCAAGGAAAACGGGGGGCCCACAACTAGCTTTGACACGCCGCCTCGCCAACCCAGACTGCCAAGCAGGCTGAGAATCCTGCCTGGGAGCTCGGGACCGTCCTGACAGGCCTGCACTAGCACCTGGCGCCGGATGAATCTGCACCGTAGTCCGAAGGAAAACACCACCACTGGTCCGGGCATCTGCCGTTCGTAGGAACACTTCTCACAGGTCATTTTGGGCACCGTTGGTGGCTGGCTCCCATGATCAAGCCCTCAATGCTTAATCGACCAATGAGCTACAGTAGGGGTTCATACGAGTACGGCCCACAACCCATTGACCCTTGGTTCTACCGTGCTAAGAAGGCATGATACGTATATAAAGGCTGTCTGCAAACCCCATTGCATTATGTACGTAGGGCAGCCCACCTTTAAATGACCAGCGAGGGCTTTGGGCGCTGCATTCCGCTGCTATTTCGCTGCTATTTCGCTGCTCACCAGGGATCACATATTGCGCCTGTAGATGTCAGCCCCGTCCGCCACCCCGCCTGCAGGTTTTTTACCGGCACCGGGACATCTTGCGAGGCGTCTCGCTTGAGAAGCGCCAAGGCGCCTTGATAAGCCTTCCTCAGCGGGAAACAAACTGCCGTGCACTCCCAGAAGCTGTCCCCCTAAGGTTCCTTTTGTCGTTGTCTCACTGGCGAAACATGCTAAAGCCCGAAAAAAACGCCTTACGCCCATAGAATCAGCCTCACTTCACCCTCAACAGAGCTGTTCAGTGTTGGCCAATCCGACTTTCTGTTAAGCCATTGCGAAAGGGAACGGATCTCCATTCGCAAGCCAAGGCAAGCATTCAGGATTGCCTTTGCATAGCCCAAACTTGGTGATTTGGAGCCCGGGGGCTTGGAGCTGTTCCGGGATACTTTTCCCTTCAGACCGGGATCAAACCTTCCAGCCAACAAAACCGACAAAAATGGGGCGACCTGACCTTCGGGAACCCAGAAACGCAGAGCTGAGCGCCGAAATTGGCTCAAACATGGAGAAACCAACACGCATCCCCCAGAACCACCCAGCTGGCCCACGGTTTCTTGACGTCCGAGGACAGTTTCAAGGTGGTGGCCGGACAGTTTTCAAGCTTTTCGACTGGGGCCTTCTTGAGGGTTACTGTGGTCTCAGGCTGCATCAAATCTCGAACCGCTCAGAGCCGGGCCGTAACTTTGTGCTTTCAACGCCTGAAGTGAAGTACATCCCTGTCCGGAAAGGTCATGACCAGTATCAAGTCTTGCTTTCTCAACGTCAATCACCAACAACGGCGGAGAAGAGCACGTCCGCCCGCGGAGAAGCTGCCCACTAAAACCACGTAAGACAAGTTGACACTGAGTACGAAGGGGGAGGGCAGACCTCGCTACAGGTGATTTTGGGCAGTGGCCCAAAGCACCCACGGCATGACATCTGATTGATTAACCAGGGTGAGGCGATTCACCCCCTTGTGTAAACATGTTTGAACCACTACTAATTATTTACACAACCTTCTTTCGGCTTCCATTTAGTTTGGACAAGGGTCTACTTGTTTCAACCACTGTTGCCCCCCCTTTCGTCCTCCCCTCGAATACTTCCGGGGTGTCCCCCTTTTGGTCTTTCATTCCTTTCCTTCACGGAACCCGATGAAAAAAAAAGCCTTTGTGTGTGTGTGTGTGCCTTTGTTGTCTTCGTTCCATGGTCAAAGAGCTGGCGGTTTCATGTCCATGCGCTGGAAGTGCAAGGCACACAACTCCATGGCCAACTCCCAGAGCCGAACGAAGATCTGACTCCCTGAGGCCCGGACTGGGCTCGGCCATTTGTGACCGCCGAAAAAGGCTGGTGGGACATGGACAGCAGAAAATCCGTGGCTTGCAAAACCAAGACCCTGGTAACCGTGTCCGTTCCTCTGGCCAAGGCAAAAGGCAAAGAATGCAAGTAAGAAACCAAAAGCACTCCTCTGGCTTGTAGTTGCAGTTCAAAAGTCGCTCGTGGAAAGAAATGCTGAAAGGCTATGAATTTGATGTGGGGGCTTTCATGCCACACGTGCAGGCGTGTAAGGAATCTACTCCACCCACAAGCCATTCATAACCTCTCCGTCGGCCCATGCGGCCACTGGCTGATTTTGAGGGTGGGCCAGGCAGCGGCGCGACATCTTTTTTGGGGTCCGGGAAAGTTGACCTTTCATGCGCCCTGACATAGCAAACAACCCTGGACCCTGGTCTTTGTTTCGGGGGTTGCTCCAGTTCAGAGGGCGAGGGGACATGTGTCACCTGTGGCTCAAGGCGAACGCTTCCAGTTGAACCAGCTGGGTTCCGGCAAATGCGCAGCTTGTTTTGGCCGCTGGGCTTGTTCTTTGGCGATTCTGCGCAACCTGCGACGCAAGGAGCGTTTCTCGACTGTCTTGTTCAGTAAGTAGGTGATTGTCCGTAAGACAGCCAACACAAGATGTCCCACTCAAGCCCAGTCATAGCCTATGCTAACCCCCCCCCCCCAACCCCGCAGCCCCTCGAAATTGACTGGCACCCACGCATCCAACACCAAAAGTCCTTGTGCGCACTGGCTATGGCCTGAAAATGGAGAATCTACTCTTCGATAGGCTTCCCCCCCCCTTTTCAGGGTCTTCGTGTTTTTATTTGTATTAGAGGGACCATGAAAGCTTCGGATTGCGGAAACTCGGCACGGAGGAAGGGAGGCTTGACATTTCGAGTGGCTTCCGCGCCTGTAGCTTCAGTGCTTTCACACGACTTGCTGCAACACGCCCGCCAATACACACGCACATGCCCGCACATACTAGTGGAACGTTCCGCACATCCCCTGCACAAATTGCATGGGCCTGGGAAAGCGTAGTTGGAAGATCTAATCACTTGAGCGGATTGACCAAACAGAACCACTGTCTCTGGTTGCCACCCCCGCCCTGACTGATAAGTCCACGAACTCAAGGAGTAAGGTATAGGGCTCCAGTCCCAACGACCCGACTATCATTCACAGGATGTCCCATTTTGAGACTTTCAACGAAGATGTTTAAGCAGCATCCGCTTCCAAGTTCCAGTCGGAAGGCCCCAATAAAAGCCGCTTTAAGCATCCCCTCGCGCCTTCCATTTGCCTTGCCGTTCCAGCCAGGGGAAACGGACAACTGAGCCGTACACAAATCCATAGGACCGCCCCTCCCCCAAGTCCATTCAGCAAGTCAGGATCTTGAGTCAATTTCGGATGACACTTGGCTCAGCCCGGCTGGGTGCAATGCCACATGCGCAGCCGGGATCAACCCACAACATGCCATGATACCATGGATTCAAGGCATATGGCTTCTTCCCTCTGTCCCTCGCTTCCAACCTACCAAAACCAACGTCCAGCTGAGGAGTTCTCTCGAGTTGAATGGGGGATGCGAGAATGTGTCTTGTTGATTGTGCTACGTATTATCCGGGCTTGTTAAAACGGGGTACCCAAAAAGACTAGTCCATTGGGTATAGATTCAATTTGGGACCCTTTGGACATCATGTACATTGGATTTATTACGACATATTTGATGACGAGCTCACTAGGGCCCCGTACAACGAACTCACCGCAATGATGGCCCCTTTAAAAGGGGGATCCCAGGATAGAAAATATCGTAAATCTTGGGAACAGGTTTGGCCACCGGGTTCTCCCATCGCCTTTTTAGCGCGATTCATCGTCCGGCGAGATCGCCTGTCACGCTGGACGCTGGATCTGCAGCGGCACGACCCTCACACCCTGCGCCTTGAGGCACAAAAGGGTGGAGGAAGGGCGGACGGGTCACATGGAAGTGCCATTTCTGGGGGGATCCCAAAATGGCTGTGGGTCAAACATGCGTACCCAAAATGGAACCCTGATGAACGGAACCAAAGACTAAAACCTGCGGTCCCCTGGTGGGTGTATTTTGACCCATACCAAAATGGCACCAATCTCCTTCTGGCTTCCCGTTACAACCAATTGGATCCAACTGAAAAAGGACACACCCAACTGAATAACTCCGGGGGGCGCTTTGAGGCTCTGAGGCCCAAAGGAGAAGTGCCGTTTTTCGCAAAAGCACCCGCCCCTTTTGAAGGAAGAAGCGCCCAGGTGAGAAACCAAAACACTCAAAGGGTGACCCACCCCTCACTGGGCTGAGGCCCTTACGAGATCCCGGGCCCCGGCGAAGTCTTCCGACCACCCGCCCAATTGGAGAGTTACACAGGGACTCGGGATTTTTGTCCCGCAGAGACTGATATCCAGATAAAGATGGGATGAAGTTTGTCTGGATTTGCTGAGAGTTCGGTAGGTTCTGAGGATCAGAGACCCAAAGAATCATTCGCCGAAGTTTTTTCGGGATTTGCAGGGAGTCTATGCAGGGGCCCTGCGGATTTTTTCAGGAGAATCGGGAAAAGGTGCCGCCGTGGAAGTCCCAGGGCGTAAAACCGACAAGTCGATCACGCTGGCCGAGTGACGAGGAGAATCTGAGTGGCGGACAAAATCCGCGCGAAGCCGGACCTAAATTCTGAGACGCGATCAGTGTTGGCATATCCGAAACTGAATCTTGGGTGACCCTGAGTGTGCTCCAACAAAAAGGGTTCCTGGATGCTACACACAAGACTGTCCCATGGTGCCATCTGCAACCCGATTATTTGTAATTGAACCCGTCTAGGGTTCTTTGAGAATCCTCTGAAACGCAGGTGCGGGCTACGGGGCATGATGTTAAACCCCAGGTGTTTACCAAAAAACGGTCGGATTTGTTTAACGTAAACCGACTAAGCACAGCGGGTATCTGGAACCATGGAACCCTTATGTGAACGCCAGAAACACGACCCTGCAGCTCGCCCACGTCAGGCAGAGGTTTAGACTCGCCGTAAGGCTCTTTGACGAGGTGGAACTGGGATAAAACCTTTAAGGTATGTTGAAATCATACGGTGTGCTCCAAAGACCTGACCCCCGCCTACATATAGAAGTTTGGCAACGGAAAAACACCATGGCAGCTTCTTACTCGCCATGTCTACCCATGGTGCGATCATTGTTTTTGAGGCTGAGAGCAAGCCGGACTCCAAGAGGGCCTACCACGAACAACCACCCCGATTTTCAAGGGAAGGAGGACTTTTGTCATGCCCTTGTAATTTGGTTGTATACCCAATCTTCCCCTTTGTGATAGTGGTCAGTGGAAACCCCCTTTGACTGATCAGCGAGGAAACCTGAACCAAGAAGTTTAAAACCTGTTGGGCCTTCGACAACTTTTGTGGGAAGGACAGTGCCATGAATGAAGAGCGATGAGTCTTGCTTTGTACCATGAAAGAGCCACTGGATCCTCAAACCAGTGTTTCAGGTGGTTTCAAGGGCAAGCAAACGAAAACCATCATTCAGGAGGCTCCCCTATTCAGGCAGCTCCAGAGGCGTGGGACCAAGGTTACCAGCATCCCGGCAATCCACAGCTCTAAACCATGCGCCCCAGGAGATTTGGGATGTCCCGTGTTTAACGTCTAAAAGTCTCTTCGCTTGCGCTGCTGTGCGGGGCGAACTCGACACCCACCCATCGCCTGGTTTCACGGCTTCACCAACAGAAAACTGACCGACAAACGCCGGAGGTTCACGTCAGTTCACGTTATATTCGGGAAAGCGAGGCGGGGTTTCACTAGATTTCCCGCTGAGAAAAGTGTTTGCTGCAGAGCCTTTAGACAGGGCTCCCTGCATTTCCAACTCATACGTCACCCCAAGCAAAAGAAGCTCACCCAGTGATGTTCAAAACCGCCCTGGAAGGGGAAACATCGGCTTGCGTTTTCTGAGGGCATGCCGCAAGCCTAGGGGAAAACTCATCTGTGAGGCTGAGCTGGCAGCCATCACAAAGTCGCCCACGCGAACCGCGCCCGGCACATCCTCTCGGCGCGCAAAGGCGTGCGGGGGCATCATCTTTCCCACCCACACGCGTCCAAGCCAACCCATGCGTCCAAGCAAACAATCTACCCAAGGCCGCACAGAAGCAGCGCAGCCCAGCCCGATCCCAACATCAAACCAGCGCGAACGCACATAGTACCAAACCAATCAAAACACGGAAAGTCAAACCAAGCAAACTCAAGTCAATCCAACCCCAATGAAATGTAAATACAGCCGAACAGTCCAGCAACCCGCCATGAGGCATTCGTGACACAGCCGCGTCCTGCGGCCAGATAGCTCCGGCCTGGCGCCCGCGCATGTTGTCGCGGCTCTGGGGATCCTGTGTGCCTCTGGGGTGCCTAAGGCTGCCGAGCAATTCAATTCTTCAAATCCTTGGCATCCGTAGACGGACGCAGAGTTTAGAAGATGCAATTCCTTCGTGTATTTAAGAGGTAGCTTTAAGAAAGCACAGAGTTTCAAAGGGAAGTTAGTTTGCAAATTGGCATGGCAAACTAAAAATGGGCAACCCCCCAAGATGAATTTCCCCCATAGAAACGGAACCGGGTTTTGTGCGGTTCCTACAGGGGGCTGTGGCAGCTCCACTCTGGACCCTCGAGCTGCGCCAGGTAGACTCTAAATGCATTCTGCCTTCATTCAAGTGAAGATGTCTCAGGACACACGAGCCCAATCCCAGGCATTAGTGTTCTAAAATGTCATGAAATGTCATTCATGAACACAGTAGACACAGGGGACACACTTTGGTCATACCATGAACCTGCCAAGCCGAAAGGGATTTGGAAGGTCGAACCCACAGTTGTGTCCTTGTTCTTTATGGGGCCTTGACCCTATCCTCCTTTTGCTTAAGTCTCCGTGAAAAATAGGAAAAACAGTAGTGATAGATTCCCCTTAAAACCAACAGGGGAAACATATTCTTAACCAAATGGAAACCAGCTGGACATGTTGGCACTGAGTGCAACCCGCTCGGCCAACCTTCTCAAAGCTCAGGCGTTGTTCGAGCTCGGGGAGCAACCAGGACCTCTGCCATCGACGTTTTCACGCATGACAAACTTCCCGGACCCGGAAACCAAACAAACATGGGAAATCACTTCGTAAGATTAGCATTTGGGCGCCTTCCTGGCTGATGGCCTACCTCCAGCGGGCTTTGCCTTTTGTTGGCGAAAAGGCCACAGCCTGGTCTCCTTGAACGGGATTTCAAGACGGAATGGAAGTGCAGAATTGTCGTTTCCCTAAGAGGAACGGCTTGGTAGCGGCTTTCTCGCAAGAGGCCATGGAATGTGGAAGTTTCCTCAGAAGCCCTCTAAATCATCCCATTGAAAGTATGCCCTTGATGAATTTCGCCTGTTGCATGTATGCAGGGTACCACTTGTGGAAAAGAAGCACCGATCAAGGACAAAGCCCAATACCTGGACAAGTCCAGCTGCGCTGTGTGTCTTCGAGCTCGTGTTTTTATTTTGTTGCACCCCAAGCTCCTCCTCAGCATTGCCTGCATCACCTGCACGCAGGCCGGCCCAAACACTTGGACCCCAAAACATCCCCGGCCTCCCTAGCCTTGCGACGGGTTTCTGATGCCAAGTTGCCTAACCTTCAAAAACAGTGTAAATACCGTGCATATCGGCCCAGACAGTCGCCAGCATCCCCGCCAAATCCTTTGTATCCGCCAGCATCCTCGGCATTCCCCGCATCACCAGCATCTGGGCGTTCCAGCATCCTTACATCCCCTGCATCCCCTGCATCGCAACAATGCCCCCTCAGAATAGGTTTTGGCGGTAGGTGGACATGGCGGGCAAGTCTGCGATCGAGTGAGCGGCTTTTCTTGCGCAAGTGCGGCCGCCGCAGCTGTGTGGAAAACATTGAGCATGCCGTGTTTTCTGCATTTTTCCACCGGTTTCTGTGGCTGGGACGGGCTGCCGGGGATGCATTGTTTGGTGTGATTGGCTTTCGGTGTGAGACACGTGCGGCGCGCGCCGGACGCAAGCAGGCACACATGCGCTCAAGCTAGGGTGGGTGAGTGCATGCTCTGTGTCAGGGGGGTTGGGCAAGCCACCATGCAGCCTCTTGCGCGTGTGGGTTCGCAGCGAGCGCGTGCTTGGGTGGGAGGCCAGGCTCTGAAACAAGGTCCCGCCTAAACAGAGTTCTTCTTAATTAGTCCTCCCCATCTCACCTGTCCGACCGGCCACCGCAGCTGGTGATGGCGAAGCCCTAGGATTGGAATCAAGTACTTCACGTTGGCTCTACAAGCGCAACTGGCAGTTTGGATTGGTGTTTGGGCTTGGGGGTTGTCAAGCGGTTGGGTTCCAAATGGAGGTGGGGGTGGGTTCCACATTTCGCCTGTGCAACCCACCCCTGAAGAACAAGTCGTGCTGAGAGCGCCGGCCACTCGCAAAGCACGCCGTGCAGTTGCCCGGCGCACGTCACAGGGCCCAGCCTACGGTGGCTGCCCCAGGAAAAACAAACAAACATGGAGGAGGTGGTTCGGTTCCTACCAGGTTCCCGTGGTCTATTTTTGTCGAAGATTTCACGCTCAGCTTGGTTCAAAGGGGGTCAGAAGGGTCGCCACTGTATTGTCCCCGTGATGTGCTACGTTCAATAATGCGCCGATGATGTTAACTTCAGAACTCTTTTGAGGACCAAGTTACTCCAGGGTTAGTCTGGAATTGACGTTACGGCAAGTGAACCTATCAGGGATTGTCTCCAAATTGTTGGGGGCGGGGAGGGGGGGGGGGGGCGGCCAAGCAATGAAGCCCCTGTCAGGAACCGAACCCCAAGGACAGGAAGGTCTCCATGTTTCCGCAAAACCGGGAAAAACCAAAAGCAGCGTGTCTCAAAATTATTGGGGGGGGGCAGGCAATGGAAGTTTTTGAAGCCCCTGTCAGCATCCGAACCCCAAATTAGAGGCATGTCACAATTTTGTTTCTAAGAAACCAACTACAGGAATCTCTATAGGAAACCCCTGATTTTGGTGGGTATTTGGCTAACTTCCTGTAGAATTTCCTGTAGCTGGTTTCTATGAGTGTTGGTTGAACCCTCCACGAAAACGGGGGAAAAAAAAAAAAAAAAAACAGCTTGCGTCGAGTCCCAGGGGTCGTCATAGAGCGCCCGCCTGAGCCTCCGCCCGTTGAGACCTTTGAGGGTCTCCACCAGCTCGCTCGACCTGAGCTCTGGTCTCTGGAGGCGGCTTGTCGCGCCATCAGGAGGCGAGCATCCACTTACTTGCGCAAAGGACCTGGAAATAAAAGGCGAAGCTTTTGAACCATCTCCCAAAGATAGACCAAAATAGGACAACCAAAAGGTCAAAAGGTCGGCTTTGAACAACTGAGTGATGTACGGAGCCTTCCAAGCGTTAACTCAGTTCAACCAAAAAAGCACAACCTTGAGGCTGGTTGAGGGTCAGGTGTCAGTCAATTTCTAAATTCGGCTCACGCATCTCCCCCGAAAGGTAGGGCACGGGATGGCGTGAGGGGATCCCCCGGATGTTTCTAGTCTTGCAAATGGGGCGTTCACATTCCAGCGGTCACCAATTCCCCTCCCCCGGGCGCCAGCAATTGTTCGTTGTAAGGGTTCTTACAGATCTCAACCTGAGCATTGACCGAAAGGATTCGTTTGGAGAGGTCACCTGTGGCCAAAATGTCACCTTTCTCCCTATCCACTAACCTGGAATCTGACAGTGGTGTTGGGAGACACTTTGCCTTTTAAAAGATGTTTTCTAGTGGATTGCACATGGGCAGGAGGGTAAGCCATGCAAGAACTCTCCTGCAAACGGGAAAGAGTCGATCTCAGATCTGGGCAGGGCGAGCTCGAGCACAGCTTGCGGGGGTGCCAGCTGCTTCTGCTCCAGCTTCGCCTTGACCCCGCCCAAATGGCTTCGCGCAGTTTCCCTGGGACCTTCTGATTTCGTGCTGGGGGGGAGGGTTGATTGTGGTTCGCGGCTTGCGAACAGACACATGGCGCGCGCCGAGGGATGGCGGCCCGGCTCTCAGGGTTGCTGCTGCTGGAAAATTTCGGACAAGACCAACAATAGCAAAGACAACAAGCGTGCAAACAGAGGCAAGCCGCAAGCGCCCCGTGCAGCCCGCAAACCCCCAAAACCCTATGCATCCCCACAACTCGGAACCGCCCGGAACCCTCCTCGGCACCACCCTACGCATCCCTAGACCTCCGGACCCATCTGAGGTTATCGGTTAACCCCCACCCCCCACACCAAACCTGCCAGGAGCCGCATTCCGAAATCCGCGCCTGGGAGATGCTATCGAAGGTGCTGGGCGCAAGCATGTTCAAGCCGCTCACGTCAATGCTTCGACCCCCTCCCACGTCAACAGGCCTTGGCGTTGCCACACCGTGGGGCAATTTCCGTGACCAATGGTCCAAATCCAGGGGGGGTGGGGCTGCTCCTCTTTTGTTCCCCTTTTGCACCAACACACAAATGTCGACCTGATGTTAAGTAAGCCCAACCCCCTATCATTCACCAAACATGACTTGCAGGGGACACCTCTAATTTGTGACTGGGAGAGGCATAAAACAGGGGTCAACACAACTTGGAGGATCCGCGGGTGGCTTCACGTAGGGGATGTTGACCACAAGACAGGCAGTGTCTTGGCCAAACGCCTCCTTCAAATATTGCACGAGAGCTCCCTTCGGTTCAATGACACTGTCCATAATCATGATTTCACTCTGTCCATGTGCTGTTGGACCATCCAAAGGCTCCTGGAAGTTGCTTGAAAAGCATACTTTTCCATGTCCGCCCGAACATGGAACCCAGGATTATCAACCCCTGATTGGGCGGTGTCCCATTTAAAAGAGAGTCAGGATGACTTTTGGAGAAACCCCCCCCCCTTTGACTCATCCGAGGCTGACATTGGCCCCCCGCATCACTTTTGCTTGTTGCAGCTGCATGGGACGACTCGAGTGCGCCACATTTGGCCGCATGATCCAGCGCCGAGCTTTGGGAAAACCGGGTCCGCTACTGGTCCGCACACCGTGACCAGCGCGCAAAACCCAACGTGCGGTTCTACCAAGATGGTAGTCCATGTCCCAGTATTCATTCAGCTTCATCCATCCCAAGCTGTGCTGCATTTTTCATCCACAGTATCACTCCCAACCAAACAAACACAACAAGTAGAACCTGCCACGGCCTACGGGTGTCTAACGGCGGGTGTTGGCCGCTCACATGGGGAGTATCTCCCCCTTCTTCTTGCCCACCTTGATGCCAAGCATGCCGGAGCTGACCTCACAAGGGGCAACTGAACGAGAGCGTCTGTTTCTGCTTTGTGTTTGCACTTTTGTTCAGTCTTCATTGCGTTCTTTGCTTCAGTGGCTGTTGGTTGCTACAATGCTTCTTTCTTTTGTTGTTTCAGGTTTTTGTCGTTGGCTGTCTTCGTAATGGCCATAGCAAACAGAGTTCCTGGACCGACATGAATCTAGGTGTCCCCCAAGGAATCAGCAACCCCAGAAGCCAGGGAACCGGTGATGTGTGTGTGTGTTGTGTGTGCGCTTCTTGGGCGGGGGTGGTGGGGTGTTTGTGCTAATTCGCATGCATCATGCGCATGGTCCTGCCAAATCCCGGCCCTTTTTGAAGTCAAATGTTGCGGTATTCCTGTTTGTTTGTCTTTCTGGGGTACCCTTTTCAGGTTGGTTTCTCGCGGGAAATCAAAGGGAAAGTCGCATTTTTTCAAAGCGCTACCTTTTCTTGACTTGACCGGCTCAGATTTAGACATGAACTGCTTCAAAATCCAAAGTCGCCCAGGTTGCCTAAAGGACCACTTCGATGAAATTGCAACCTCCGCAATCAATTCGGGTTGCCTTTGAGCTTCCCCTTGGACCCAGGCTGCCTTGCTCGCCATGTCTTGGACATTCCCCACATTCGTGGAACACGGGAGCCCACTTTTGGGAGGTCAAACAACGTCCGGATGGGCATGACTCAGATTCAGGGACAAGCAACAAGGTTTCGCGGCAGCGTGACAGGGGTGCCGCATTCTGAAGCGTCAGCCACACACACACACACCTGTTTTGTCATATATATATATATATATATTATGAGACACCGCTGTTTTCCCCATGCTGTATAGCTACCTGGGTTCTCCTCCGAACCTTTTCGGTTTTGCAGTAGGCTAAATATGGAACAATAAATGCGAATAAGACTGTTCCCTTAGATGATAGACGAGTCACTAACCACCCGCTAACCACCCACGAACCACCAACTAACCACTCACTAACCACCCCGCCCGCTAACCACCCGCTAACCACCCGCTAACCACCTGCTGACCACCCACTAACCACGAACCACCCACGAACCGTGAACCACCCACGAACCAACCACCCACGAACCACCAACTAACCACCCGCTAACCACCCACGAACCACCACCAACTAACCACCCACTAACCACCTGCTAACCACCCGCTGACCACCCACTCACCACGAACCACCCACGAACCACCCACGAACCAACCACCCACGAACCACCAACTAACCACCCGCTAACCACCCACGAACCACCACCAACTAACCACCCACTAACCACCTGCTAACCACCCGCTGACCACCCACTCACCACGAACCACCCACGAACCACCCACGAACCACCCACGAACCACCCACGAACCACCCACGAACCAACCACCCACGAACCACAAACTAACCACCCACTAACCAGCCACAAACCACCACCCACTAACCACCCTACCACCCACCTGCTAACCAGAAGCTACTTGGATCCTCTGGGTCTGCGGGTTGCCGCAAAAGGCGTCTTCGGCCTTCGGCCCTCGGCCTTCGGTCCGAGGTCCCGACCGTGGCGCCCAAGATCCCGAAGATCACCAGCAACGAGGCGCTCTGAGGCAGAGGCCACCAGTCCTGAGACGTGGCCACCGTCCCCACCCCACCCCACCCCCCCACCCCACCCAACCAGGGGTATTTTTGTGCAAAGCCTGGTTTTCCACGGTAAATTACCTCCTGTTTTAGTAGATGGTCGACATGCTACCCTGAAAAGAAAGAGGGCATTTGGAGTGGGGGGTAGGGGGATCACTAGCTGGTGGCACTACTGCCACCAGGCCGAAGAAAAAAACAAAACAACACGGCCTGGACGTGGGTGGTGTGTGAGGACTTGTGGAATGAAACAATGTTCCTGAGAAAACGCCACATTCATGGCTCCAAGGGCCATGGAAGTTGCTGCCAGAAGTCGCCCAGCATCATCTTCGTTCCCACGAAGGCCAAAACGGCCGCCAGACCTGGAGGTTGAATAACTTGCATGGACTGGGGTCTGGTAAGGGGCCGGGTCTGGTAGGGGCCATCTGGTATGGACCTTAATGGAAAGCCATAGAACACATGACTTCTCAAGCTAAACAACATTGAACAATCGAACAGCTAACGTATGAACTGAACATTCTTTAAGCCAATACCCATCCTGGACAACTCCCTTCGTGGAATGGCCAAACAAATGATGATATCGCTTCTCACTGAAACGGCCTTCCGCCGAAAAATGTAAAGTCGAGAGACCCGTGGAGTTGCGGGGGGCAAGGGGTTGCATGTTTGAAGAGCCCCCAGGATAGTGTTAAAGCCGTGGTTTCCCTTTTGACCTGCTGGGTTTAGGCCTACCGATGGCTACCCAAACAAATGCGTCCCTTCGAGGACTAAACGCATGAGCTGCCGCGGCTTGTGCCCAACCAAGAATAACATTATTGAGTCTAGCTAGTTCACCTCCATTTGCGTTTTCGTCCCCTGGAAAAAATAATAAACAAACTGGTAGTGATAGATTCCATTTAAAACCAACAGAGGAAATTAAACATATCCTTAACCAAATGGAAGTTCGTGCTTATCAAACCTGACTACGTACCAAAACAAACGATGCCCCGCTCTTGGACAAGAAGCAAATTGTTAAGCTATCGAAAACAAGTCCCAAAACCAATGTAAACCAACAATAAAACCAACAAGTCTCAAAATAAACAGGTCTCAAAAAAAACAGGCCCCAAGGACACAAGTCCCAAACACAGCAGGTCCCAAAACAACTAAACCACATATATGTCAATCTAAATCCAACACGCCCCAAAAACCAGGTCCCAAAACACAAGTCCCCCCAACAAAAACAATATAAGCCAACAAGCCCCAATCCCCCCCAAAAAATAGCCTAAGCAATTTTGGCCGCCGCGCCTACTTTGAGATTCTGGACCTTGTCGAGCGCCTCTGCCAGCAGCAAGTACAAGGATCGCAACCCCAGCACGGCGAACCTGCCAAAAGCCGGGCGCTGGGTTTCAGTATCACTTGCGTTTCACGCGCAAGCCAAACTTGGCCCGGTCCATGCTCCAGTAGATGTTGTACCGAATTGATTCAGGGGCACAATTTGAGGTATCCATAATGCTGACTACGTGCCGTGTTGAGAAGTCGTTGGCGTGAGGCGGGGACATGACGTCTTCTTCTTTGGCTGCGCGCAGTATTAGGGCATCAAGCTGATTCACAAGGTTTAGCCTGCTGCCCTGGCGAATTAATTGACTTTCATTCTGATTGACGGATGACCCATCAAGGCAAGAGGTTCAATGTACAAAAGTCCACGACCCCTTCGCGGGGTCTCTTCCTCGTTCTACCTCATTTCCTGCTGGGGAACCAGCAAGTCAAGCTAAGCCCGGGCCTTTTTGACCTGGAATCAAAGGCATGGGGAACAAAGGGCCTGTGTTGGCAAAAAGACCTGGACCTTCAAGCTACCTTGAATGAGTGAGAAATCTGCGTCGCCTTTTGAAAATAGTTGCAGGCTTCAGGGGACATACCCTTACACGACCCTCCCAAAACTCAAGCTTGCCCTTGAGAAGGAGCGTATCCTTATCAATAAGCCATTTGACCCTTACTATGTTTAAGGGCGGGTTCGGGAGTTGTCTTTGCAGCGCTATCCAAGAACAATCAAAACACAACCTAAACCAAGACATCCCGCTTCCTGAAGAGGAACGGAGCTCCAAATGGAGGTGGGGCTCACCCTCCCCTTTTTCAGGGGAGATACCAAGCTGGGCTGCCCTCAGATTACCCGCTAAAAGTTGAACTTTTAATGGGTCAATACGGACATCCAACCACTAAACACTAAAAAGATCTAAAAGGCTAAGGACCGGATACCAAGCAAGCTTTTTGTTTTTCTTTTCCCGTTATTTTCCCTGGAGTCTATTTTAGTCGGGGAACCCTCCCTCCAAAAAAGGTTGGTGAAAGGGCACTACCGGGGGACCTAGCCAAGGCAAAGCAACATGTTGGAGCTAAAGACGATGAAGAGGTCGTGGGTAATTCCCAGGATGCAGGGGATGGAGTCCACGGCGAAGATGAGATCACTGAGCTCCACCACCACTAAGGCTG